GCAGTTTACAATCCGGGAAAACATTTTTCCCCACTGCAGAAAGTGTAAGCTAGATTTGATCGGCCTTTTGAACAGCAGCCCTCTTGTGCTTCTGCCTGCAATGGATTATAAAAACATCTCTTCTCTGTTAAGGTGCTGGTTGGATAAATGTAGGGAAGTTCACTGTTCGGCCTGCTAGTCAGTTTTCAAGAGGAAACACTTCCTAAGTAAATATGAAGTAATAGTCCTCTTCCTGCATCGGTCGGTCAGGTGTTGGAGTCCGACCGTGATTCCAAATCCAGCAATTGACGTACCGGGAAAAAAACGGAAATGAGAAATACCAACTTTCATCCATAATCTGCCGTGATCCTGAGCTCTTACACTTTTATACCTACCTGATCCGTGGACGAGAAATCTTTAAGGATGATGACAACCGAGTTATAACTGCAAGTGGCAACTGGCAGGACGACGTTAATAAAAATGGATTCGTCTTCATGTACGAGAAGCAAACATTAAGTGCACCATCTTTCCCTGCTCCCCCTCTCCAGGCCAGTTATTTAAGGGAGCCACAATCAGTAAAGGACGTTTGTGAAAATACAACAGAAACTGTTGTTGAGGCAGGAGAAACTGTCATGAACGAGCTGGAAAATGAATTTAACCACCAAAAAATTACATGTATATGGGAATATATATATAGGAACATTTGTAGATTGGTGCCACTGTTGTTTATTTTGTGTTTAATTTTCATTCTTGTCGTTATTTTTTGCTTTTGAGATTTATGTATGTTTTTTTATTTTTTCTCGTCTCAGTTTCTGGAGTTACTTTTGTGTCAGCAGCATCATGCCGAGCATCGCATGCTTAGCTTTAAATTTAATTTAAACATATTTACCAGTAGTAATTAAATTTCTTGTTTCGGTTTAAAAATACTTTATTGATCGCAAAGAAAATTTTATGTTCATCAAGATTCTTCAAAGAGCCATTGAAAACAAAACAATTGGATGAAGAGGATGGACAATTTTCTTGATCCTATGAAGAATCCTTCTCTGCATGATCATCTCCAGAAGTTTCCCAGAACAGAACCAGAACAGAACCAGTCTTCTTTACAAGTCTGTTGAGCATTTTTAGGTCCCTGGCTCTGGTGCTGCTCCAGTCCATCTGTGGTCCAGATGAACACCGAGGTGTTTATATCCCTCAACCACGTCCATTTCTTCTCCCATGATGGAAACAGGTTTGATCTAATCCTGATCCCCCTGAAATCAATAATCATCTCTTTTATTTGTTTCAGGTTCTTTCTCAAGATTCCTCCATCAGTCCAAAAAGATTAAGTCTGTCTTTATGTCTGGATTAAATGGTTGGTTATAAGCTACCTTCAGACGACATTTGTTTTGAGTTATATTGATAAACTGAATTAAATAAATGTATCTAATAAAGTGGCCAGCAATTGTGTAGAAAAATAAAATGGACAGGGATCCAAAACATCAGTCCTTTAGTACACAGAGAAGGTGTTATTATCCTGCGTAACTCATTTAATAATATTCTTTTCTGTTTCATTAACATAACTTGTTTCCTGTTGCCTATAGGAAGTTAATCATTGTCCTCTTTGTTCTCATTGTTTTAATTCTCATTGTTCTTAATCATTGTTCACCAATTTTTTCAATAATTTCTTCCTGTTTAAAGAGTATTAAGTTTCATTTATCTGTTTTCTGAGCATGATTTTGACTGTATTCCTGTCCTGGTTAATGAAATGCCATAGGGATCTATAGAACTTCCTTTATATTTAGGTTTTTCAGTTCCTTTTTGTTTGGGGTTTCCAATCAAAGCTTTTAAGTAACTTAACTTGAGGTAGATATTTTTCTCTCATTTTGTCTTGTATTCTTTTGGTTGACCTCCTGACAAAACACATAATCCACCGAAAGAAATCACAACAAATATCAACAGTTTTTAGTATTGACATAAAAACACTCACTGTGGTTGACATGGAGTCTTCAAACATTTCTAACTAGTACAACAAGACTAAAAGGTGTTGTTGAAGAAAGTGAACACTTCAGTCTCTCTTTACTTTCTAGTGACCCTTACTTCTTGGAGGATGGGCAAGACAAACAAAGCCTGACCTGACCTCTAACCCAGTGAACTGCAGTCCACTGTGAACTGCAGTCCACTGTGAGCTGCAGTCCACTGTGGATGTTGAAATAAAAGGGATTAAAAAGAACGTCGAGTGACATATAGTTGTTTCTCATTTAGTCCAACATGTGTTCACCTGCAATTATTAACTCCAGGGTGTCTTCTGTTTTTCATAGTACTACAATACTATCAGGACAAAAAATACTCTATATGTCAAAGAAAGTATTGTCCGTCAAACAAGTAAAAGTATTTTTGTTTAAGATTTGTTAATTATTTTTAATTTTATTAATAAAAGATGACTTGATCAGGGTTCCTAGGAACTTCTAATTTCCAATCCATAACTTTGTTTCCCTGAGGTGTAAATATTATGTGACACAAAAGTCTATGCTTCTTCTCACTATTGGACAAAGACATCTTCTACACACGGTGATGAGGACAGCAAAGACGGCAAGAATCTCCAAAATTTTATGTTACAGTATAGTGTACTTTGGGGATCATTGCACTTTATTTCCTTGCCAACCAGTTGTTTGAATCAAATGAGGGGAAGAAAGAGTTGTACTGTAACAAACCAAAATGAGAGGGTTTGTTAAACTTTACCCTGAACACATGTTTTGGTCCAATAAGTTGAAGTTTAAACTTTTCAGCGATAAATGCAGAAGGTTGGTTGGTTGGTTGCCAAACAGAAGTACCTCAATACCCATTTCTTTATCAGCATCCATGGGAAGTTTGTTAGGCTTTCTTTACAGAATACTGTCTGGAAACTGCCAGGATTTTCAGGTATTGATTGACTAAAAAGTCCAAAGTTTAGTCTAGAAATCCCCTGATTTGATATTAATAATATCCAGAATTCAGCATGAATTCGACATGCTGTTGTGGACTGTAGACCCTGGAGTGGGTCACATCTGATAAGGGTGCTTTGTTGAAAACCAAAAAACTATAGTTGTTCGCACTTCCAACAAGTTTTTGCTAACTGTTGGAATGCTACCCACTTTTAGCAACAACATTTTAGTTTTCCTACAGTTCAAATACGTTCAAACACCAAAGTACTATTTGCACAGCATTTGTACATCACTATGTTTAGCTTATTTATAGACAAACTGTCAAAAGAGCAAGTAAATAATCTGGCAAATTTAACTAGGTTTTTTTTTTATTTGGGCCACCTAATTGAACCCACTCAGAAAGTTGAAAACCTTCAATTTCCTGCTGTATTTTGATACTTTCCAATTGCCTCGGAAGTCAGAACTTGGCGTAAAATGACGTCACACCCTAGTCAATGGTTGAGAAGTAGGAAATACAATACGACGACATCTATGTAGTCGTTGTATGTAGTACCTCTAACTAACATTGTTTTAAGCTGTACTTTCCAAATGTATAGCAAACGCACCTTAAAGTGCAGGTCCTACATGTAACATTAATATTACACTCTTACAAGTGTGGCTTGTAAAATGATCATGTTTTCACCAGTTTGCTATTCTTGATGTGAGGAGCAGCCATCTTAGATCTTAAAGTCAGTGTTAGAAAAATGATCAGACTATCAGACTTATCGGCTTTCTCGCCAGACAACATATGAGACCCACCATTTCTGACTGGGAACTTAAGATAATCTGACTTCCGAACAAATATGTTACACTATAAATTTATCTCAGAAGTTGCAGCTCTAACTTGACAATTCACACGCAATAAAAGAATCCAACTTGCTAGTTTAAACTCCACCAAGAGAAATCCAACAGCACAAGTGACATGGTAGAGGGTGTTAGCACGTTTTTTTTAATTTTCCCAACCTGGTGCTCTGTAATATTGAATTTCTCTACAAATGTGCCATACACTTGATACGAACATAAAAATACCAACATTCAATGACAAACAAACCATTTCCCGCTTTTTTTATTATGATGATGATGATTTCTTATAACTCCCTCATGTGTCGGTCTTGCATTGTTCTGGACATGTAATGGCGTCTTGTGTGCTGTAACCATATCACAAAATGGCGCCGACAGAAAGGAAAGTAATAACGGCCGAAATTTTAAACCACGAAAACCGGAAACGTGTAGCAGCCGTGTTGTTAATAGTTAGAGTGGTTTATCTCCACTGGCATAAATCATTTAGATACACTATGTATTATCATGTCAAGTTCATTGTACATGGAATTAATAATGTATATGGCACACAATGGTACAAGCGGCAGTCACCAGATTTTGTTTTGGAAGTATGTAAATAATCAATGACATAATTTAGGTTTCCAATGTTAGCTTTTAGTAGTGTTTGTGCTATTAGGGCTTCTTTTGGATAAGCTTTGGTCGTAAAACACATGCATTATGAATAACGTCTAAAGCAAACAGATAGGAAAAGCTAACACATTGTTTATCACAAATGAGATTATGTGCTAGCATAACACGCTAGCACTTTCGTAGCCACAAATTAGCATCACTGCGCCGCATATCGGGTAAGGATGAAAGTGTGTAAGGTTGAAATTAATTTACGTAGTTTACCAATAAACCAACCGATTTTGCTTTTTCAGTTCGAAAGTCAAAAGTTTGATGAAGTAATATCTAGGTAAAACACTATTTTCGACAGAAGTAGCTTAAAAAACTAAATCATTATTATGCTAATAGTTAAACGGACGAGGTAACTATTGTCAATTAGTTACTGTTTTCCCTTATTCGGCATTTGTGTGAAGACTATTACAAAGTAATTAAAAAGGTGTGGTCTATGGAAAGTGCCTTTTTTTATACTAACACTCTATTGGGTCATCTAAAGGACTATGCCGGGGTGACAAACCCGCCAGCAGGCGGTGTACTGAATCCACTTTAGGACGGAGTAAAGGGAGGAGGACCGCCTTGTACCGATAGGGAAGCGGCTGTGGTAAGTCTGCAACCGTACAACCACAATGCAATAATAAAACAATCCGTTTTTGTTTCATTTTCGTGCGGAATAGTTTTATCTTTTTACCCTCCAGTGAGTGCCTGTTTTTTTGTTCTGGCTTTTTGTGAACCCGGTTGTCTGTAGGCAGCACCAACAAAGACCGACCGGCGAAACCAGCAGTGAAAGCCGCGAAAGGTTTGAAATATTTGGAGTAACTACAAGTCAGTCCTATTTTCTTTACTAAGGCAAGTTAATGGGAAAAGTCGCGTCAGCTTGCGCGTCAATAACAAAGCTGCCTGGTTGTAAAATGTGTCCCTGTCTACAGCGCAATAGTTTATGAAAAGATAAATATCTCTTTCTTTACACGGAAACACAGTGTTAATGATCGATCCACTGCGAAATGTGTCGCTCTTGCAAATGTTTTAACTGAACCAGAAGGGACAACATTCAATACATGTAGTTGTCACTGTTGCGCTATTTGTTTTCTTTGTGTCTTGTTGTTAAAGCAGGCGGATCTTAAACTAAAGGGGACCCCAAAACTCGTGTTTTTGTGGTAGTAAAAGTTGCGTGTCGTGAAGAAGTTCGCGGCAAGAAAGATAACGCGAGATTTCATTCATGCTTTCCATACATTGAGGAGATGGCAGGGGGCTGCAAGGGGGCTTATCCCGCAGCATCATGACTCGTGTCCCGCAGGATTCCGATAAAACATTCTGCGGTTTTCTTCTGTGCATAAGCTGGAAGATCTAGATACGACTAAACCGCAATACCAAATAGAAACATTTTAATTTGATTGAAGAAAGCTCAGCTTTCATCCTGTGGTCATTCAGACAAAAGGAGATTAGGCAACGGCCTTGTCCCACCCACCAACCCCCTCCTCAGACATCAGTCATGGAGAGAGCAGAGCCAACACCAGCCAAGCCTGCGTGTGACTACTTGTAGCAACCATGTGTGATAAAAATGCCAAAAGCACACTTTTTCTCTTTACTTATGTTTGTTTTTTATGTTTATCTTAACTAAAAATATTGCAGTACTAGTCTTTTCTCATAGTAAATGGAAGCAAGGTAGCTAAAAAAAGTAAATTCAAGCAAATCCAAAAGAAGGCAATACTAATGTCAACATTATTTTTGTTTCTTTGCGAGTGACAGAGCCTGTTATTAGATAGAATAAAGTCTTGTGTTGGACACTTGAAACTTAATAACATAAAAGCAGACATAAAAAACTATGGGTACCACTAATGAAACTGCACTATTTCCAGATGCTTTGTTTTGTTTCAACATACTAAGGTGCAACAAATTCAGTGTGTGTTAACCCCCCGGTGGCCCAGGAATGTTTTTGCCCTAATATTTCTAGTCACATCACAACCTTAAGACCCTTAATTAAGCCAATTATTGCAGTTCTGTGACAACCTTGCCTGAATGCTACCTATCAATGAATTAAATGTGTACGTTTATTTCTTATTCTTTTTAAAGAGACGCACAACATGGCAGCTTCTCCGGTTGTGACCCCCATCTCCACCCGTGATAAGTCGAGCCGTTTCTATGTGGTGTCGTGGATCAACAGGCTGCTCAAAACAGACTTCAAAAATGTGCAAGAGATGGGAACAGGTGATTAATTACAGCATATGAACTGGTCATTTCATGCTCATCATATTCATTTAGCCTACTTTTATCACATAGAGAAGGCATGGACAACTCTGGTCCTTGAGATCAGGCACTCTGGACACGTTAAATGTTACTAATAATAACTGCATCATTAGCAGGAATTTGGTTCTGAGAAGATAATTCAGTGACTTGAATCAGGTGTTGGAGCATCTGCGACTTACCTTATCAGGGCATTTCTATCAGCATTAGAGTCCCTCACTCACTTTCAGCTCCCAATACCTGTTAGTTGTTGTTGGTGCAATGTCAGCCACTTTCCAATGTTGGCTGACAAAGCAATGTTCTTCACATTTCAACAGTCATGGCCTGTTTTTATTTGCAAAACTTTTTTTTGTGGCTAAGCATAGTACTTTCTTCAACCTAACAATTCTGTGTTTTACCTACAAATGTGTTGGGTTTTTTTTCACCGTTTAATGAAAATGTTCACAATAGGAGAGAAACCATATTGGATCGTGCAGCTTCCTGTTTGTGTCGTGAAGAGAGATTTATACAGATTAATCAATTGTGATTGCAATATTTAAAGCAATGCTCTGAGTTTGTAAAGCAGGAGAGCAGCTTGTTCACAGACAACTAGCTGGAAGATTTTACCATTAAAAAACAACAACAGGTAATATCAAAACAAAGAGAAAACCTGATCGAATGTATAATAAAATAACTCAAAGTGCTTTAGTAATGTAAAATAGAATGATAAAAAATATTATTCTATATCAAGCACTGAGTTTGTTCATACTACATTTAAAGTGAATTCTACACAGTTCATAACAGAAGTTTTGTGCAACATAGTTTCTATAAACCACAAAGGGAAGTTATTGTTCCACTTTACCACCCTCATGTCAACTCATGAGTTTGTTTAAAAGTTGGTTTAACAGACTGAAACCTTCAGTTTCCAGACATATTTGGACACTGAGGTCTACAATGTTGCCTAATAATTTATTATTTTGAGTTTACATCTCACGAGGAGTCATTTTAATGTGATTTATCATAGTTTGTGATTGTGAAGTGGATATCAAAGACTGAAGTTGGACAAAAAAGATAAATACAAACATAGTAGAAACTGTGTTTCTGCTGCTGCTTGTCTTAAAGCAATACAAGCACCAAGAGCCTTTTGTTTTGAATCAACTTTAAAAAACTGGTTTACACAATACTCAGAGGCATTATTATGGTAAATGCCCTTCCTTCCTTCCTTCCTTCCATCGTCACGGCTTGTAAAATTGTTTGCGTGGTTCAACAGGTGCATGCCAGTGTCAGATGATGGACTGCACTTTTCCTGGCTCCATTGACATGGCTAAGGTGAAGTTTGATGCACAGACTAAAGAAGACTTTAGGCACAATTTCAGTCTTCTTCAGGACGCCTTCAACCAGAAGGGTGTAAAAAAGGTATGGATCTGTGTCTGCGTTAACAAAATTCACTCTTTATGGGGAAAAAGTACTGCTGTTCTCAAGGAATATGCAGACATTTAATTCCTTCACTGGCAGTACCAAAATCAACAAAAACGGCTGAAAAGGTATTCTCAAATTAAATCAGCTGCTGTTCTTGAACAATTTGGAGTACATGCAAAAGCTTGGTCTTTTTATGAAGATGACAAGCTAAATTTTTTATTTTTGCAGTCAAAAATACTTTAACTGCAAGTAGTTTGTAGCTATAATGTTTGTAACACAAAAGAAATAGATTTTTCACTTTTATTTCTTGTAAATGCACATTGAATGTTGAATGTATGGACTGGAAAATACAGTAAATCTGTAGAATAAAGTATTCTACTTGTGGATTTCAAAACTGATCAAGATAGTACAAAAAGACTCAGACAGAGAGGGGAAAAAAGACTCTCCTTCTACTTTTCCGAGTTGACCAGTCAGAAATATTCCAGGAAGAATACAGGCATGTCAAAACAAGTTTAAGTCGCTTTCTGGATATTATTGGCTCGGGAAAAGCCCTTTCACAACATTTTTGGTTGAATGCGTTGTCAATCAAAAGGGTGGGCTCTAGGTTGCCCAATAAAAGTGTCATGATGGACAACCGCAGAGTTTAAAGATGAGAAAAAGGCAGAGAATTCAGACAACCTAGATTTGTCCCATGATTGGGACGCCACATGTTAAGGGGTTAATATGGAGGGCTAATTTAGTTGCTATTTAGGTAAGAGACAAATTTAGGTAACAAACAATTCTTTCAGGAAGTGTAAAAAGTTTTTACACCTCTTGAATTTTTCCTTTTTCTTTTCATTACGACCAGGAACCTTATTGTATTTTATTGAGATTTTGTGTGAATAGAAACAAAGTAGCACAGTTGAAAATGGAAAAATAAAAATAAATGTTTTTTATTCACAAATAAAAATCTGGAAAATATACAATGCATTCATTAAATTAAGTGATGTTGATGGTTAAAATGTGAAAAAGTGTGACAAGTTCAAGAGGCATAAATGATTGTGCGAGATTCTGTAAAATGTCTTTAAATTCTCTCATGTCTTTTTGTTTTGTTACAGGTCATCCCAGTTGATGGGCTCATAGAGGGCGATTTCAAAACCTGCTATGAGTTCATGAAGTGGTTAAAACTTTTTTACACGGAAAATACAAAAAATAAAGAATCTACTCCTGTGAAAGCAACGATTTGTAACAGCGAGGAGATAACTCCAGTTTCACCATCTTCCGGTACCCTTTTTTCACTTTTTTCCTCCATATAATAAAAGAAAAAGGGCTTTAATTTACAGGAGACGATTAGGGCATCCAAAAAACGTTCTTGATTTCCCTCATAATTTAAACTCAGAATTCTAATTCTGTGTCAACATAACAGCTTCTTCTCTGTTATAGGATTTGTAAACCTGCATTTGATCCACTCTGAAAACTTTTAGATCTGAGTTTTGAAGCTGGATTTGCATGATGGTGCATAAACAATTTAAACAATTCTGAGAAGAAAAGCAAAAATACAGAGAAAATTCTGAGATTAAAGTCAAAATTCTGAGATTAGATTAGAATTCTGAAACAAAGTCAGAATTTTATAAAAATAGTAACAATTCTGAGAAACAAAATCTAAATTCTGAGATGAAAGTCAGAATTCTGTGGAAATGGTCAACATTCTTAAATTAAAGTTTGACTTCTGAAATAAAATTCAGAATTCTGAGAAAGAAGCCAAAATTTGGAGAAAACAAAGTCTGAATTCATTTTATTCAGTTGGCCTAATCCTCTTCAGTATAATCAAATTCTTCTGTCTTTCCAGGGAACTCAGACATTGAAACAAACGGCACTGCAAGGACAATGAAAGTTTTTCCGTACTCTGAAAAGTGGAAGGAGGAATACGTTTGGGCCGAAGCCAGCTCCCTGGGAGAGCAGCACACCTACTGCTCCATCTGCCACACCAACCTGGCTTCGTACAGGAGGGGCGCTGTGGAGCTGCAGCGCCACATGGAAACAAATAAACACCAAAAAAAGGCGGAGGATTTACAAATCTGTGAAGATAACACCGAGGTTGCGGAGCGATTCCCCTGCAGCGACGCGGCTGTCCGCTTCCTTTTCAACCGCTGCTACACCGGATCTGCTAAAGGCGAGCAGGTCTCCAGACATTTTGCACGCTGCAAACTGGGGCTGAAGTACCCCAAAGACCTCGTTGCTGTTAGCAGCCACACTCCTTACTGTGTTTATGTTTACGAAGCCCTGGCAGCTGGAAACGACGACACTGTCACCGTCGTTTTGGTGGGCTTTTTCGACGCTGAGTCCTCTGGTCACTGCATCCGACTTCTGGACGCCATTGAGTCGGCGGACGGAGCCGGAGACCAAAGAGCAGCGGCGGTGGTGCAGGCCTTGAAAAGACTCGAGCTTTCCACCGATAACCTCGCTGTTTGTTATCCCGGTGACGGCGAAGCTTCAGAGCAAATCTGCTCACATCTCAGGGAGCTGAACCCGAACATAATAGTCTTAGGAGGCCTGTATGCTATTGCTGATGCTGCGTATCATGCTGGGGTTCAGGAGCTCCCCAGTCAAATCCAGGAACTGCTGGTTGACTTATATGCACACTACTCCTCTTGCTCTACGAAGAACGTCAAGCTCAAGGCTCTCTTTGGCTCAGATATTACTAAAAACAGCAAGCCATTTTACCTCAGCGTCAGTTGCCTTAGATTCCACCAGCTGGTCACCAAATTGACAGAAATATGGAGCGATTTGATTCTTTACTTCAGTTCCTGCCCTGAGGATGATGAAAAAGCCAAGTCATTGTGTTCCCAGCTCAAGGATCCCAAAGTCAAGGCAATGCTTATGTCACTGGACCACGCATTAAAACCACTGGAAAAATTTCAAAAGCAAATTCAGGAGTCATCCTGGGCTAAGATGCCACTCATCCTGGAAGAAGCCAGCATGTTGCTTAGCACGTACACGTCTTGCTTTCTTCAGCCCAACGCCGCCGCTCGCTACCTCAATGAACATGATGCTCAAATCCTGAAAAACAAAAAGCACCACCTCTCAGGATCGGCCCTCAAACTGGGTGGGAAAGACATGGAAGATTTCCTAAAAACAGAGGAGGCTGCAGAGGTTTTGCCACAGTTACAAGAAGAGCTGCTGCTGTTTTATGTTGCAGCAACATGTTGCATCGCAGAGAAGTTGCCTTTAAGCGATGCGGTGCTCAGAAACATTGCTCAGCTGCTAAACCCGGAGAGCAGCCTTAAGGCTACCGATGCAGCTGTGGAAGAGCTGGGGAGGAAGCTGGGAGTCTGCAGCTCCCCTGAGGAGGTCAGGCAGCTCAAACAGGAGTTTAGTGAGTATCAGCAGACAGAGGAGGAGAGGAGTAACCAGGGAGTGAATGGAGACACACTGGAGAATCACTGGGCGAGGGTACTTGAAGGCACAGAGCCCACCTCACTGTTCAGGAAGCTGGTTCTGACCCTGCTGTCATTCCCATGTCCTCCACTGGATGCTCAACATGTTTTATCCCAGGTATTCCAACAACTTCCTCAGAATATTATAACTTCTACATTTAAAGCTGCAGTATCTAACATTTATTAAAAAGAAAAAGAAAAATCACATATTTGTTTAAACTTCCACCATGTCATGAAACTATTATATGAGACAGATAATCTGGAAAAAATCAAGTTCTTCCACCTCCTCCCAGTGCTAACAAGAAACAACCAATCAGAGCCAGGAGGAGGGTCTTAGTGCTATCAATCACCCTCAGTGTATTGCTCACTTCACCCCTTGCTCTTTGCTATGCTACAGCTCGTACATGAATGCTAAGTCTAGTTAGCATAGCCACTGATCACAGCGGATAAATGGTTTTCCTGTAATGTTAAGTTGTTTCTCAACCATTATCACTTTGAGCAGGGAGTACAGTAGATAGATTGACAGCGCTTAGACCTGTTTTTGGTTTGATAATAGCCTTAGTAATTTATTGGCTAAAAGTGATTATTGTCTAGCAGTTGTTTTTTTAAAATGTCACTTTTGGCCAACACTTAAAAAAATTGGAAGGTGACGATATTAAACTGTCATGACATGGTGAGAGTTTTAAGAAATATATAAAAAACTGCAGCTTCAATTAAATAACTGACATTGTCCTCTTTCCTTCAGGCTTTAGACATCAAAGATGTTGCACCGTTTTCTGAGAGTGATGCCGTCACAGAAAGCGAGTCTGAGGTCAGACCTGACCGTGTTCTCACTAACGGCAGCAAAAAAGACCTCCAGCTTTACTCCGCCGGTACAAAGCAATCCTCCACAAAGCAGATAAACAAAAATTAGGGCTGCAAGTTATTAAATAATGAGTTAATCTAAAGTTCACTGATCTTATCGATTGACTAATGATTCATTGATAAGTATCCATTTTCTGAAAAATGGGAATTTTCACTTGTATCAAGCGTAAATTCTTTTTCAGAAAAAATTTTCATGATATGCTGAGTTAAAAAAATCTTTAAATAAAATTATTTTGTGTCCGCTGTATTAAATACTGACATTATTAAACTCATATATACTTATAAAATTAATGAAAAAGGAACCTCTGAGGTTGTTGAATAAAAGAATTAATATATTTCAAAACAGAAACACATAAAGTGCATTTTGCAACACGAACCAAACTGGACCATTTCTTTTGCACTTTTGCACATTTTGTCATGTTTTAACTCTTGATTTGCTTTTCCAGCTTTGAATGGCTTCAATTTGAAGCCTTGTGAAGTCCGCCTTATCAAAATAAACGGTAAAAATAAATTATTTTATCAGCCTAAATAACTGTATAAATACATCTTTATTGATAAAATGTAAAAAATCTTTCCAGCCTTCAAACTTTAAAAAGTAAGCACTGAAAGTGTCTGATGATATCAGTGACAAAGTAACTTTTGTTTCTTTAGATTGTGATGGTTTTATCAACGGCTCTCTGTCACATGAGGTAATAAATGTTCAGTATTTCCATCTTATCTGATTTTGAATAGATTAAAGACCATAAATGCACATCTAATCTCTGCTGCTGGACCTGAAACATTTGAATCTCCCCTCAGTGATCCAGTCTTTAAACATGTCACTTGACTTTCTGATCAGTGTACATTGTTACATTTGGTTATCCTACATCAAGACGTTCCTGTTTTGTTTGTGTATTTGCATGTGACTGGTATTTGGATGAGAAATGAGAGTGTGTTTTGTCTCAGGGAGTTTGGAGGGGAGGTCATGGCTGGGAGAGCAGCTTACGCCAGAAACCACAGGCCCGAAAAGTCTTTCAGGCTGGTGTTGGTACCTGGTCCAAACCCATTGGCCTAATTAAAGGTCGCAAAAGTGGTGCGGACTCCATAGATGAAGATGTAGGTATACCTGTTTATTGTTCAGGTATTGTTCATTGCAAGAAAAATAACAATCATAATTTGTTCAGTCAGTGTGATTTGGAGTATAACAGCCAATGTGAAATAAATGTGAAACTAAAACAAGAGGTTGGTTACTAAAATAAACAACAACAAACCTTCTAAACAGTTCAGAAAGTGCAATTAGGAATTTTTGCCCTTATGGATCAGCCATATTGTCACTCATTTTTCTACAATATCAGCACTGATATTGTAGAAAAAGAATCCGATTGTTGCTTCTGTAGTATTAATTATGTTAAAGTCCGTCTTGGGAAGGTTACGTTCAACAATTTACATTTTTTCCTAAGATTATGTTAAGGCTTAAAAATGGCAACTTTTTGAAAAAGTACAGCAAAATCTTAGGCTGCAACAATCACAAAAAAAAAATCACAAAATCCTGGAGGATCTGAGTAATTATTGCAGACATTAAATATAAAAATGTAAATAATTTTTGTGAACAAAACTGGAGAATATACTACTTAAGGCACATGGGCCAAACTCAGGGTCTGGGGGCCACTGTAGATTTATTTGTGGCCCTCCAGACTCTAAATTACATCAATTAGTCTCCAGTTTTTCACAAATTCTGAAAATCAACAAAAATCAAAAATTTTTCTGATTTTTAGTGAACATTTTTTTCTCTAAATTCACCAAAATCATTGGGTTTGATTGACTGCTGCCTCAGTTTTACTTCATGTCAGGTTTTAGTCCAAGACAAATGTGGCGATTAATAAAAACAATTTACATTAGTGCAATATTGTTAAAATTTCTGACAGATATTCCTAAATTAGTGCCACAAAATCTGTGATTTTGACTGCAAAAAAATAAACACAAAAACAACCAAAATCCTGGATGAACTGATCAGTGAGAAAATATGTTCAAAATTACTTAATTTTAAGCAACACTTATTGAATTAAAAACCAAATAGCTAATTGTAGATATTTTTAACAGTTTAATAAGTTTTATCAATACATTTTGTCACAACTGGCCCTTTAATAACATTCAGATATTTGATTTGGCCCTAAATGAATCTGAGTTCAACACTCCTGACATAAAACTTTCTGCCATAGAAAAATTACACTTTTTTCAAGTTAGTTGTAATAATTTGACTTCACTGATATTTCTTTAAGCTTGAAGGAATCTCACCGACCAGTAAAAACACTCCATGCAAAGGTCAATACCAGGTAATTATTCATTTCTGGAAGTATTGTTGATCAAACTTACAGACCGGACGCCCGGTCTTATGAAATGTCTCTGTCTTGTTTTTCTTCGGCTTTTCTGCAGGATGGGAAAGGATTCTCTGTTGGGGAGCTGGTGTGGGGTAAACTAACTGGGATGTCCATGTGGCCTGGACTGGTGATGTCGTGGAAATCCAAGCACGTTCCTCCAGGCATGCGAAGGGTGGAGTGGTTTGGCGATGGGATGTTTTCAGAGGTAAAATCTGCTGCTCTGGTCAATCGGTTTTAATTTTTAATATTTATTTGTAACTGAGTGTCGGGTTTCTGTTGCAGGTCAGCACAGAAAGGCTGAAGCCATTTAGTTCCTTCACTTTGTGCTTCTGCAAAAACTCCTTCGCCAGTCTGCCGGTCTATAAGGACGCCATCTACCAAATCTGTGAGGTAATCAGAACAAACATGTTGCTACCCGCAGCCAGCATGGAAAGGGAATGTTTTCACCTCCCTGAATGGTTATTATGTCTTTAGCTCTTATCTGCATTCTTTCCCTTTGCATTGTTTACTCGCAATTTGAAACCTGTTCCATGGCTCAAAAAAGCTGACACAAAATTGTGCGTAGTGTTAAAGTTGAAGGTAAGGACTTGACACTGAACCAAAGGTTAACCTTCCAGCAGGACTGTGAACCTGAACATAGACCCAGATTTACAGTGGTATAGGTCAATGAATATCCACATGCTAGACATAAAAATCTATGGTAATAATTGTTTTTGACAAATGCTTTTCTTAAAATCTGTCTGAGCTTGAGCTGTTTTCTCAACAAGAATAGAAAAATTAGTTGAGTCTCTGGATATTTAAAGCTGATGGAGACAAAAACCAAATGACCTGCAGCAAAACGTGGTTCCGCCATCTTTGATTTGCTTTCATCATCATAAATATGGTCTGCTGAGTTTTGTTTTTTCAGGAAAGTCAAGTCAAGTTTATTTTCATAGCACATTTCAGCAACAGGGCAGTTCAAGAAAAAATACAGTCACCAAATGTGAAATCAACAACAAGGATTACATTTTACATGACAAGAAATATACAGCTCTGGAAAAAAAATTAAGAGACCTCTAAAAATGATCAGTTTCTCTGATTTAACTTTTTATATGTTGTTCTTGTATTCTATGAACTACTGACAGGATGACTGTGAGATTCCAAGCAATAATTCAGTATTTATTAGCAGAAAATGAGAAATGGTCAAATTAACAAAAAAGATTCAGTGCTTTCAGACCTCAAATAAAGCAAAGAAGACAAGTTTATATTAATTTAGAAACAATACTAATGTTTTCACTCAGGAAGAGTTCAGAAACCAATAGTTGGTGGAATAACCAGGAGGTTTTCAATGGGGTTCAGTGCAGTGGACTCTTAGCTTTTACCAGAGCTGTATATGCTTTTGTAAGGAATAAAGGTGTAATTATGTCTTAATCAGTTGTTTTAGCTTGAAATTGGGGGAAAAAAATCCAATCAAAAAGCTTAAAAATACAAGTAATTCTGTGTTGTGAGCTCTTATTTTGAAACAGAAAATGCAGTTTTTCTTATATTTACTCTTATTATAAAGTATTGCTACTGTGGTTTTTGTCAAAATTATCTCTACTTTTCCAAGGATTGTTAAACAAGAGTTCAAATTCAGTTATGATTCATGTTTAAGTTAGCAATAATCATAAGTTGAACAGATTTAGAGTGACAAACTTGGAAGGATTTTGTTTATTTCACAGAGATAAATCTATCTGTAAACAAACATGTTCCTGTGAAGTTTAACATGATACGGCTATTTCTGACTTTCACATCATTTTTGTTTTCTAGTTGGCAGCTGAACGATGTGGGAAGTCTTTTTCTAAGGCAGAAGGTGATAAAGAGCGAGAGCTGAAGATGATGGTGGATTGGGCTTCTGAAGGATTTCTGCCTACAGGACCCAGGGGATTTGCACCTCCTGGTAAAATTGATGGCAATATGTGTTTTCCTTCTACCTTAAATCTCTACATTTCAATCTCTTGAGTTTTTTCAGCATAAAATAACCACATAACAAAATGTATACTTCAGACTTGTCGTTATTGCATCATAAATATACAATATTGCAGTTACAAAGGCTGCCTGGATGCAATTTCTGGTGAGCTGTAATCTTCCAAGTCCAATGCGTTCACACACTGCATGCCAATAATGGACAGTTCAAACCAGAGGTTTACATACACCAAAAAAAGACACTTGAACCTTTTTTTCTCACTTTCTGAAGTTAAACAAGACCAAACTTCTCTTGCTTCAGTTAGAATCACCAAATTATTTATATTTTCTAGACTTGAGTCTTTATTGGGACTTACATAAGTGACGGAAAGGAAAGAAAAGAATGAGAAAAATATGGATTTGTGACTGACAATGTTATTGGATAAAAACATTGCATGTTTTTGGCATATTTTTCACTCTGTATTTTCTTCATTTCAATTTCACAGTTTTCTTTTTGTTTCAGTTTTGTTTTTTGAATGTTCTCAGTCGAAGTGATGGATAAGTAAAGAGAAAACATTTGATCATATTTCTGCCAGTGTGCTAATCGCAGAGCCAATACTTCTTTTGCTAACTTTGAAAACATTTAGCGCAGTTAGATTTCCCAAAACTAATTTTTCCAGATATCTTTGTTATTGACTGACTACGATTTCTTCAAGTTGAGTTATGTTTATATTTATGCTTTTATTTTGAAATGGGTGATGACTTTTTACACAACAGTTCTGTTTTTAATTTTACTTAAAATAAGAAACAAAATCAAAATAAAACAGACACTAGGCAATAAGACAAACATAAGTGCAATATCTAAGAGCAATTTTAGAACATGAACATTATAATATCAAACTCAAATTAGTGCTGGAAGGAAGGAAAATAATTTGAATAGCTTTAGCATTTAAACTTAATTTTAAGATAGATGATAAAATCTGAAAATGTGGTTTTGTTGCAGGTTTTTGATGGTGTGACTCTGACTACCATAAATAATAAAAAAAGTTAACCACATATAAGAGTTCAGGACATGGAGGGTATCAACGATTTAGCACTAGCTTCTTCTAAATATTGTATTTATGTAGCACTGTTGTGTTAGCAGAGCTAATGTTTAGGGTTGGTGCTTTAGGTTTAGCAAAACTACCGTTGGCTAAACTTGTTAGTGGTGTATTGGAAAATAAATGCAACTACACAACATGTCTTACACAGATGCTAATTCTGTACACCAAAGCCGACTTTGGGTAAGCTTCATTGTTGTGAAATGATTGACTCCAGAACAATGTGTCAAATGTCAGTCTTTGTTTACAACTTCATCTGTGTGTCAAACATTCCTGTTTTTCCTGAATGTGTCTTTTTCTTCCTCTCATTTAGAAGAATCCTCTCCAAATCGAGATCCTAGCGACTCTCCTTCCTCTGACTATCAACCTCCACCAAAACGAAAATATGTCTATAAAAACAGGGCAGCAGCTCCCAATGCCCCCTACAATAGAGGTTTGGCATATAGGTAGCATTTTAGTTATTTGATATTAATTTTGTTTTCTTACATGTGGTTTCTTTTCATAATTTTCTTTACAGAATCACTGAAAGAAAAAGTAAAAGAAAAAGGCAAATCAATTGAAGGTAAGTTTGTAATTTGTGGACTTAAATTCTCAGACATAAACTAAACTATAAATATTTTGTTAATAACTCCCTGTTTTATTTTAGATTTCTGCTTGTCTTGTGCATCATCTGAAATCGATGTCCAGCATCCCCTGTTTGAAGGTGGTCTTTGTCTAAGATGCAAGGTAATCTGACAAAGAGTCAAGATGTTCAGTTCAACAGCAGATCCAGGGTTTTCCCCAGAGTATTATAAGCCTGGCGGGTCACCAGGCTTTGCTTGTGTCCCCACCAGGCTAAACATTACTTATTTATTTAAGTCTGTTTAAAGTGTTTGCATTTTTTAAGACTGTATAGTTGATGTTTGGGTATTAATCTTCCAATTTTTCAATAACACATAATTATCATGTGATATTATTAAACTTCCTGTTAACCTTAAATCTTTTTTAGTTCAAAAACACAACAGGCTGCTGGGTGAATGATTGCCTTAGGTTCTAAACACCGGGTACAGCACGTTTTCTGGGGGAAACCTTGAAATGTCTCGGTTTGCAGGAGAACTTCACAGAGACGCTGTATCGTTACGATGAAGATGGCTACCAGTCGTATTGCACGGTTTGCTGCGCGGGCTTAGAGGTCATTTTGTGTGGGAACGCCAGCTGCTGCAGGTAAACACAAAAGTCTTCACTTTGTTTTTAGTGAATTTATATCATGAAACAAACACAGAAGGCAAAGAAATGGATCAAAGTAAGATTATTGATGAATAGTTTCAGTCAATAAATGCAAATATTCATTCTGATGAGATTTGTTCGTCAGACTGAAAGTAGTTTTTGAAAATAACTTTTTAGACAAGTGTTAATTTTTGTAATGCTCTCATTTTTGTATTATTTGGTCTGACGTCGTATTTTAACCTTAAATGTAACTAGAAAATCATCATAATTGACAGAAATTAAGGCTATGTGTAGTTAATTTATGTAATATGTTTCACCTAGTTGGTTATGTCACTTAATTACTTTAACTTTTCAATAATTTCATGGATTTGTAAATGCTGCAGGTCATGATAAACATAGTTAACTTACAGGCTAAGATATCCTTTAACATTTTATGTTCATTGATTAAATGAAGAAATTCTAATGCAGTTGAAGTTCAAACTTTCAGCTTTAACTCAGTGGATTCAGCAAAACAAAATGCATAAAAATGTTTTGATAGATCAGCAGAATGTTATGTATAACTGTCAAGCAGAAGCAAAAATGTCTTCAATTTAAAATCTTAAAAGTGTGGTGTGTTATTTTTTAACTGTCCCTACAATTCCATAGGGAGATGGAATTGTAGGAGCAATTGACCTCCCATCTTTGTTTCTCCGTCCAGATGTTTCTGCAAGGACTGCCTGGACATCCTGGTAGCCGAAGGAACCTTCGACAAACTGAAAGACATCGACCCCTGGAGCTGCTTCATGTGCGAACCATCACAGTGCGACGGAAACCTCAAACTGAGACCAGACTGGAGCGTCAAAGTTCAGGATTTATTCACTAATAACAGCGCCATGGAGTTTGTAAGCACCATGTTAAGCATTATTGTGCATCATTTGGTAAAACTTCTAATTTTACATTTATACTGTTTGTCTTTGTACTGAAATTGTAAAATATTGTCTCTTGAATGGTGCCAGATGAAATGCTAATAAGCATATTTGCATGGGTGCAGTCAGCTGTGAGCTGTTAATGTTTAGGCATTGAACGCTCCCAGAACTCTGGACAAACTGGTTTCACTGGTCTGTTTACCTTTGTTTTCTCTACTGCACCAGCATAAAACCAGAGTAAACCAAACTAAATTCAACAATGCAGTTTTACAGGTTTATTATTTTTAACATTGACTATAAAGGCAACATTGACTGATCAACATAAAGTTTTTTAGTTCAAGCAGAATTGTACAAGACGACTAGTGAAACATGTTTAAGGTACTTAAAAGCATCTCAACATAATATAGATAGATTAAATTAAATTATAAAGCATAAGAAAGGCTAATTATAAGTGCAAATATTTTATATTTCTGGAAAGCTCATGAACGTCTACATCTCATTTCTTTACGTTCAAGTTATTTTTCTTTTGAAGAATTATTTCAGACTTGAACTTAGTGATGGAAAATACTTATTTTGGTGTTTTGTAGGAAACATTAAACTTTTTAAATGTTTCCTGTTACCTGTGTTGCTAGGTAGCAGTGTAATTGCTCAGCTGTTACCTAGCAACCCCGGCAGAGTTCCAAGCAGGTCTTTTGGTTTTACCACTTTATGAGCTGATCAATGACAATAAACGATTACTTCATTTATTGTCATTAATCTGACAGTGGAACTTTTTTATCAATATTAATTAATTAGTTACTTGTAAGTTAGTTTTGTCTTATTTCATGTGTGCTAAGATATTTACTTCAGAAACTAGAAAAAAAAAAGTGGTAAAATTTTGTGTTTTTGCAGTGAAGTCACTGAATATTTTTGCAATTTATATTTATTACATTGTAGAAATTACAACATAATGTCACTTTGATAATACAGTTTTTTTGTTTGTGTTGTTTTGTTTTTCTAAAAGCTCTCCACTGGATCTAATGTGTTGTGGATAAATGTTGGAAGAAATTGAGATTTTTCTCTGTAAAACTTTTGCTTTCTTTTGGTTTAATAACCACAGGAGCCTCACAGGATTTATCCATCTATCCCTGCTGATCAACGAAAGCCACTCAAAGTGCTTTCGCTTTTTGATGGGATTGCAACAGGTAGGTTCACTGTAGATGTTTTTATATATGAAAACAAAGCAATTTCTGTGTCAGTATGAACAATAATTGAGCTTGAGCCAAACAAAAGCATCTTTTTTATTGATTAAAGGGTCGGATCTATGATTATAACGGAAAATTACACAATTTCATTCTTCTGTTTGTGTCTTAGCTACTTCTAAAAACAGCCCAAGTGCTTAAAAACAACAACACCCAGCCGTTTTTGACAAGTTAATGTTTTCTGGAAATTGAGACGTTTCAAAAACCTTCGAAACATTAAATCGGATTCCAGCGGCACTCTGCCGTTACCTAGCAACCCCAGCCATGCCCAGCCCCGTTACCTAGCAACCCCAGCCCCGTTACCCAGCAACCCCAGCCATGCCCAGCCCCGTTACCCAGCAACCCCAGCCCCGTTACCCAGCAACCCTGACAGAGTTCCAAGCAGGTCAACTTTACAAGTTGATCAATGGCTGGTGGAAAAGATGTTTTCTTGCTCACTTAACATTCAGAAAAGATGTTTGTGTTTTAAAGATGGCTGTATAATTACTCACCTGTTTGCAGCAATTGTGTGTAAACGTTGAGTTGTGGCGTGGCCAGAAGAAGTTTATTTGGATTTAAAGTGACAAGAGGCCCTAAAATAGCTCATTATCTAAGAATAATTTTGTTAAGAAATATTTTTTTGTCCATATCCTAACCTCTTCAAGGAAGCATATTGTTTATGAAAACAGACCAAGCGCTTAAAAAAAACATTTATTAAAGCTAATAATAACAATAATGATGAAATATCTAATAACAATAATAAGCTTTGACATTGTGACAGGATATCTGGTGCTCAAAGACTTGGGCTTCAAGATTGAAAGATACATCGCTTCTGAGATCTGTGATGACTCGATTGTTGTGGGAATGATTAAGCACGAGGGGAAGATTGAATATGTTAACGACGTCCGCACCATTACAAGAAAACATGTGAGACCCTCTCTTAAAGCTGAAGTTGGTTTAAACTAAAAACTGATTTTAAGTTGTTCTATGTATGCTTCAGCTGGCTGAATGGGGACCTTTTGACCTCCTGATCGGAGGGAGTCCATGCAACGACCTGTCCATGGTCAACCCACTGAGAAAAGGACTCTTTGGTACATCTAAAAAATTATTTTTTAATCTAAGGAGTGACATGTTTCTTCAGATTTAATTATTTTTATTTTATTGCCTCATTTTCCCTCCCTTTTCTTCCTGCAGAGGGCACCGGGAGACTCTTTTTCGAGTTCTACCGCATTCTGACCCTGTTGAAGCCAAAGGAGGAAGACAGCCGTCCATTCTTCTGGCTCTTTGAGAACGTGGTTTTGATGAGCGCTCACGACAAAACTGACATCTGCAGGTTCCTGGAGGTGAAGACCTGTAAACAGCACAATGGAAGTAAAACAGCTGTGGTAAATGTGGATGCTCAGCATGGGAATTCTGCTCTGTTTCCAGTGCAACCCAGTGCTTGTTGATGCAGTGAAAGTCAGCCCAGCTCACAGAGCGCGATACTTCTGGGGAAACATACCTGGAATGAGCAGGTACGTTCCAGTCCAATAGTTTCAGCTTTTTCTATGTGTTAAAGCTGAAATTATTAAAAATAAACTATTAAAATATAATTTAATATATGATTAACCATTAACTGGAGGATATAGACTCAAACAAAGGCCAATTGTTGAAAGAATGCATATGTGTTTATATATTTAGCATTTAAAATAAGACAAAAAAATATTCTTTGTCTTGTCAAGTGTCGTAGTTTGAACTTTTACTGGTTCACGTTCAGTAAAAAAAAAAAAAGAATTAATCACCACATTTTTAGAAGTTTTTTTTGCCGCAAATGGTCAAGTGTTGTTGAATTATTTGTTTATTTGCATATTTTAATGTAGTTCTAATATTGTATAAAAAAGGTTGACATGAAAAATATGAAGAATGTGCCAGTTTCCTATCAAATTAATCAATTAGTTGTCAGAATAATTGATAACTAAAATAATTCTTTGTTGCTTTGATCACAACAAATAATTCTGCACTTTATTGTTCAGGATTCAAAAATGTTAATTAGAAAAATGCAGAACTGACTCCCAAAATTAGATTTGTGATTTGAAAAGAAAAAAAAACTACATGTAAACAATAATTTGCTGATTTATCATTTATTTTTATGATGAAATATATAATAACAACACTTAATAAGAAATGCAATTTTAGAGCGCTTTTCTTTCCTTAACAGATACAAAATGATAACAGATGATAAAGCATTCACTGCAGGAATGCTATGTTATTGCATTTTAGGAACTAAAATGTTAATTTTTTTATTTAAAGAAGAAATCGAATCATTTGTTTATTTACATCTTTTCATTTATTTATACCATTGAATAAGAAAGGCTTAAATGAAAAAGCTGCAGAATGTACACATTATTTTTATCCCATTAATCATCAGAATTATTGATAAATCAATCGATAACTAATATAATTGTTAGTTTCAGCCTTGCTGAGCATAACGCTGCTCTTAAGTTTAATATAAATTAAATCTGTCTGCTTTCCACCAGACCTATGGCTACCTCTCTTGACGATAAAGTCACTCTGCAGGATTGTTTGGAAGTTGGTCGGACGGCAAAGGTAACCGCATGTTTGTTACGTGTTTTATTTCCATATTGTTTTCATTGCAGTTTGAATTGTGCTTTTTTAACGGTGTGATTTTGCATTTTGCAGTTTGATAAAGTTCGCACAATCACGACAAAGTCTAACTCCATAAGGCAAGGGAAGATGGGCCCACTTCCTGTCTCCATGAACGGAAAGGAGGACTACTTGTGGTGCACTGAAATGGAACAGTGAGTGTCAGTGGTTTGCCAGTACCACCAGCTCCCAAACAGTCCCACATCATAATGCAACCACTGCCATGCTTGAATGCCAACACTAATTTTTGGAGCGTTTAGGGTTTTAAGGCTCCACCTGTTTTGGGTTTCATTTACTGTATATCCCAGACTATACATTGTATCAATACAAAATTAAAAAGCATCATGAAGAGGAAAAAAAACAAATATAAACTGCATCAACTTAGAAACTTAAACTTTGATGAATGATTACAAAGTGCTTTGACACAAAAAGTTTGATTCAAACTAGTTTTTCTATGTAAAAAGACGCATCTTTCTATGTGTTATTTTTTCTATCTATATGTAATTTTTATAAGATGGTTCAACTTCCGCAAGACAAATAAATGATGAGATTAAACCTTTTGTTATTACTGTTTAGCTTTTATTTGGGAACAAAGACGAGTTGAAGAGGTGTTCATATCGTTTACATCTATTTACCATTGATCTGTTTTTAAGATTGTTTTCTGTTCTTTCAGGATCTTTGGCTTCCCCAAACACTACACTGATGTGAACAACATGAGCCGGATGCAAAGACAGAAGGTTCTGGGTCGCTCCTGGAGCGTTCCTGTGATTCGCCACTTATTCGCGCCGCTGAAGGATTATTTTGAATGTGAATAGGAGCAGTGATGCGATCCTGAGGCGGAGCAGCAGCGGTAAACCCAACGCCTTATCTTGGTGCTTTAATAGTTTAGATTGTGTGGGCTTCTTTCTCCTTTAGATCCAGTTTGGCGTTTTGTCTCTTAACTTTCTCTAACTCTTTAACTGCCAGTAGCTGGGGCCGTCTTTCTACATATTTTATTTTTCTACTTATTTGTGTTTTTGTTTTTTTATGCTGTGATCCGATGATGTTACTCAGAACACAGGCCTGTGTCACAAAGTGAGATGAGACAATTAGCTCCACATCTTCAGGTTTAACTCAGGTTTTTTATCACTACTGACATGTTTACTGTTTTGCATCGCCATGAGAACAGCACAGACTAACTAGAAAACCAGCAATCTGCTCCATCATTGATTTAGAAGCAAAAGAAGTTTATTTAGAAACGCTATTAACTGGACACTGTTTTTAACTTTTTATAAACACAACAGAATACAAATCAGCAACATAAAGTATTTTTTAATCTGCAGTTATGTTAAAGAAATTGCTGAGCTTAGATTAATTATGTGACCAAAAAGCTCATTTTTAACTCCTGCTTGATGTTTTATCCATTTTGATCTGGAATCAGACATTTCATCCTTATTAGCTTTTCTTTTTTATATCCAGGTGTTTAAAAATATGATTTTTCCAGGTCTTATCTATGACTTTTGAATTTTAAGTTTAGCTCACTTCTGTGATTAGTTATCACATATATTTTTACCCCAGAGTCTGAAACCCCTCTGAGGTCCAGATGACCTACATTTGCTACTGTAACAAGGCAAAAACACAACAAATTTGGAAAATTATCACCTGGTTTTCTGGTTTGGTTTTAATCCGGTGTGAAGGACGACTTAAAGAACTGCTGAACTCACTTTGTGGCGCAGGCCTTGCTCTCTACCTCAAGCCTGAGTTTAAATCAGCGGTTTCAGTTTGTTTAGTTTTTATATATAAATATATATGTAATGAAAATGAAATTTGTTGACTTTCTGGCTTTTCTGTGTAACGCATTTTGCTAATCCCAACGTGGAGCCACATTTTCTCTTAAAACAATCTCATATTTGTTGCCTTTTTACTCATATTTTTGTGTTTTTCAAGGACTTTTTGTTGTGTATGCAAAAATGAACTGTGACTGTTAACAATATCTTAGGTATAGAGTTTTGCTGCAGTAAATATCTACAGTAGGAACTGAGCTTAAAGTACTGTATCAACGGTTTTCTCACCTAACCAGTTGAGCAACATAATTGTGTTGAAATAAATACAAAATGCAGAATAAAAGCTAAATATGAGCATAGTTTTGAAATAAAACACATAGCTTTGAGGTATAATATGTAGCTTATTCAATAAAAAGCAGAAATTAGATTGTAAAGGGTCAAAATTCCAGTTAACTGATGGAAAAAAGCAAAAAAGGACACAATTTTATCTAATTCTTTAAAGATTAATCAACAGAAATGTGGAAAATTATTGAGCTTTCAGCACTCCCCAGCGCTACATGTTACAATTTAAATATATCTCAATTAATTTTCAGCCTGGTTAATTTTTATATCATGTAAATTCTGTAAGATTTAGTTCAATAAAAAACATGTTATCACTTTTACTCTATTAATATTCTTTAAAGTTAACTAATAAAAAACAGTTTCTCTTCTGATTGATAAAAAGAGACAGAAAATAATAACATAAAATATGCAGTGAAAATAATAAAAGCCTTAAATTTGATACTTGAAATGCTTGATTGGTGTGTTTTGGAAAGAAATCTGCTAAAAATCGATCCTTGATTTAAAACTTGAATTTTTTCAGCAGTTAATGACAATGACACATTTTAAGATTTTACGGTAATTGTTTCAATTTCTGAATATGACGCGATTCTACACTCGAGTTATCTAGATTTTTAAAAAGTTTTTAAAAGATTTTGGATATTTTAGTGGAAAACTGTATGTTTCATAAGCAATGAAGGAATAAAATTTTCTGTTTTGTCAGTTTGCTAAAAGCTTTTTTAGCATCTCGACAATCTGCAAAATCTCGACATGTCAAAAAACATTTCAAATATGATAAAATACATACAGATTGATGTTTTTGTTTTCTGAAACTCAAAATAAAACCAGGACTATCAATAGTAAGTGTTAAGTTCCAACCAGATCCAGTTGAAGAATTATATGTAAACTTTGGCAGTTTTTTAATCTTCATATTTGGTCTGCGGCGATTCGAAAATTTGAACTGATATCAATATTCATCCAACACACAAAAACACCAATAAGATGGAAATTAATATTGGTTATTAATAGTAGCGCATTTTTAGTTATCAGACCAATACCATTGCGCTGATATATTTTGCAACTCTACTTTAATTAAATGAACTTTTACCCATTATTACCTAAAAGCAAATTTATTTTTGTTAAACTATTTTTATAGGAACATTTTTATTTGTAGAATATATCAGCACCAGCAGATGTTAGTATTTTGTCAAAATATATGTAAAGTAAAACTGGGCTGATGGTAACGACCGATGTTTATTTACATCTTGCTGCTTTCCATCCATGTTTTTGTTTGGTCATATTACAATGATAGTGATGCAGCAAAGCATTATGGGATGATACACTGCAAAAACACAAAATCCTACCTAGTATTTTTCTCCTACACCTTACTAAAAAGTTACCTCTAAGTTAGTTTTCTTTTATTTGAAGTATAGTACGATATTAGAACTAGAAACTAGACCAAAATCACTCTGTAAGATTTTGTGTTTTTGCTTTGTGGTTTTTGTGGTTACTTTTACCCGGTAACCACAAAAACCAAAAGTGTAGGGAAACATAATTCGTAATATCTGAAAAAAGAGCAGATTTAAACTCTGATTTTCATATTGATTATCCTAGATGACAGAAAAAGGAATAAAGTCTCAAATTTCAAACATTTTTCATATCCAGATCTCAAAAATAATCAAATTATCATCAATACTTTTTTGTTGGTTAGCTAAATGATGTTGCGGCCAAAAACCTGACATGTAAAGCTTCATTTTATGCTCCAGGAAAATCATGTAAGTCATTCATTGTCATCAGGATTTATATTGAGTTTAAACATAAGTTCAGAGTTTAAGATAAACTCTGGACTCCTAAACTTAGAAAAAAAAACTTGTGGGCTTACATCTGATTTTTTTGTTGTTGGTTTTGGTCACACTACATGTTACATGTTATCTGTAATGGTGAATAACCAGGTGCATGAGAGGATGCACTGAAATGACTTGCTTACCTCGCTCTTCATATGATGGTGCTGCACTCATGGTGCTGATGTTTGTGTATTTTTATTTTTGTCCATTAGGAGACTCAGTTTTAACATCACCTCAATCAAACTGGGTTTCTCAGTAGCATGTCGACTGTTTAGTTGTTTGTGTTAAAGTAACATAGGAAAAAAAAAACGCCAGTTGATTCTCATGTGAAACAATAAATAAATCTGTGGGATACATCATATAAGGTGTGGTTTTGTTATTTACCATGACTTTCTGTCATAAAAGCCAGAATATAACATTTATTGTTCATCCATAAGTATAAAATTCTCTCTGATGGTTTCACATATTAGGAAAACATGTAACTGTAAATGTCACATAAAGTGAGATTAAATTTGTAAAATCCTTACTTGACGACTGACCTCACCTTAAATCAGATTTTTGATTTTTGAAGATTTAATTTCTGAGAAATCTGGATTTTCCACCAATGGGCTTTTTGAGTTTCCATAGTTCAGTGATGTCAGCACACCCATGCCCTAACAAGAATAAAGTAATAATATTACCAGAATAAAGTATTAATTTGATGAAAATACAAAATAAAAATGGGGAACGTTGAGCATCTTGTGAAGTTATACTTTGGTTTGGTTTATTCAGTATATTCTGAAGAAAACCACAGGGACTGCTGAGCTGCTGTTGACTCTATCTTAGCTTCATTCCCGTAATGTTAACATCTTTTAATGATAAAATTGCATATTTTTCTGCTAATATATGACTATTCTCGTAATTAGAATTAAAAATATGATTCTCACGAGTCTGAACCGGAAGTGATCCGCGCCATCTTAGTAGGTAAGCGCGGAGCAAGGAATCTGAACCGTGGCTTCCGGGCAAACAAACAGGAAGTATCTTGACATTCTTGTGCGAGAGAAAGATATATCAACAAAATCGTTGCTGAGACAAATAATAGACGACGTGGACAAGCCGCCTCCGGATCTCTTACTATGACGTAGTTCACTAGTTAGTGAACACAGTGCTACACCATGGAGGAGTTTCGCCTGAAATCTATGGACGCATACAAGCAACGTTTCAAGTGATTTATAAAGGACGTACGTGCTCTTCATATGAATAACAAGGTTATGGTGACTGGAAGAGTAAGTGCGTGTAGTAACACAAAGCTAAGCTAAATGTACTTCTTAGCTAGCAGATAAAAGCTTCATTAGCTATGCTAATTTTGCTAGTTCGGCAGTAAGTACTACAATATCGCTGGTATTTCTCTTAGTATTACACAGAGGTGGTTAGAGTACTCAAATTATAATCGAGTAGTGGTTGTAATTTAATTGTATTGTTCATAAATTAGATAAGAGAGAGGCGAGAGCTAGTTCTAAGCTCGTCTGTGGCTTGTTCATTGTTGTCATAGCAACTCCATAATAGCAACTGTCATGGCAGTCACTGTGTCTACTAAGATGGCTGTCAGCTACAAAGTTCCCGAAAGCGTGACGACACATGGAAACTGTACAGAAAATATTTTCTGTCTTTTATTTTTTATATATTAGGAAGCAAGAATAAATATCAATTAAAACGATAAATTGGATCTGGTATGAAAAAATCAGAGATTTTATTTTTAAGCCATATCACCTTGTCTAGATTTTGTACAAAATGTACAAAGTTGAACTTTTATTTTTATTACATGAGCACACAGATTGGGGCAACAAAATGATCCGATTTGCAACTGAACTACTTGCAGTTTCTGTCACAGAGTGCATCGTTCATGGCACAGATTATAGCTGCAGCAGTTTCACAACAAAATCATTTTCTCAGATCCCTGCATACAGTTTGGTCCACGCATCTGAAGGCATCTATGGGAGCTACCATTTTACTCTACAGGACCAAACGGATGAGTGTGAACCTTTATTTTATCTTTAGATCAGTTTTCTTCTTCCCAAGTTTTATTTTTAAAAAATTGACACAAAAAAGAGGAAAAGATTAAAAACTGAAAGTTCAGGCATTATGCAGTTCTGCATAAAATCTCACTGAAAACATTAGGACATGTAAAACTGACTAAAGTGTAAAAAATAATAAATTAACTTAATTTCTTAGTCTCACCACAAAAAATTGCTAGACTGTTGATTCCATGGCATCTGACAGATTAACACTGTTAGGATTTGTTACCTGGTAAAAAGATTTTGAGTTTATGTAATCTTTTCAGCCATTTAAATTGGTTTTTAAGTGGAAGTTCAGTTATGATGGTGCAGTTTCCCAAGGTTTCTGCACTCTTTGCATCTGAGACGGAGTGGGACTCTGGTTGCTGGCCTGGACGTCCAGCTTCGTCACTCCTGGCACTGCTTTTCCTTCTTGAACCAACTGCATCACCTCTGCAAAAGAAAGCTGCTTTGTTTCTCCGTCTGCAGACGTTTCTGTTTCATTTGAATCTGGATTTGACTGAGCTGTTTGATCCTGCTGGGTGTTACAAGACAGAGAGATCCACCGTTTGTAGTTTTGCTGATCAATTGGTTCCACAAACCTGAAGACGAACAGAAAAGAGATTTAAAAAAAGAAAAATGGCACATTAAAAGAGAATTAATCAAAACAAACATTATTTATGCTTGCTAACATCTAATGTAGCAAAATAAAACAGAATAAACATAATGAATAGCAATAAAAACAAATGTTTGAGACTAATTATGGTATTTTAGATCCCAGGTTTGATCAGCAGCTCAAGCCAACTGGACCATAAAATCCCAGAACTATTGGATCCTCACTAACACAAAAATATTTTATTTAACACCAGAACATTCTGGCTTTGCAAAACAAACTCTACAATAATTCAGTTATGATATTTTCATATTTAGTAGAGAAAAGAATATGGAATCAACCAAGACAAGTGGATAACAGGGCGACATTGATCCTATTTTCTTCAGATTATTTTTTATAGTTGGTATGTTAGGGACAGTTTTCCATTTTATCAGATTTTTTTACTTTACCTGCTCTTGCTTTTTTTATTGATGTGTTCTGCTGCATATCTGATTATTGAACAGTTTTGTGTTATTTTTGATCAATCTACTTGTCTCCTTTTTCAGTGAAATCCAAAAATGCTTTATTAATCCAAAAGGGAAATCAAATATGGTTTTAACACAGAGGCCTTTTATTGACGACTGTAATATTTTCTGGACTACTATTAGTTGTTGGCTGGCATTGCTAATCCACCTCATTTGCTTTTGCTGCTCCTCTTTAAATCTCATGTCTGGATGAAAGAGAGTAACTTTGTATGATATCTTAGGTTTTTTTCCCCACCTGCTTTTAAAGGTATATTTTGCTGTTTTTGATCAAGTACGAATTTGTTCTCCTTTTACCTCCTAACATTTTATCATGTACATATGTTTATTCCTTCTTCTTTCATGTATCTGTTACAGCTTTCCAGTATGTCTTCATTCCGTTTATTTGACTATTTTATTTTTGCCTCAAACGAAAAAAAAAAATGATTGCGATCTTTTCTTTTTTATGGTAACTTTTATTTTTATTTCTTTGCAGATGACGCCAGCCAAAGTTATACTTTAAAATGTGTAGCGTAGAATCACTTTAACAAAATAAACAGAAAGATTAAGCATCTCTATAAACTAATGAACAATGCAGGTGTATTAACAGCTTTAAGGAAAACAAAAGACGTTAATAAGTATGAGGATGGGTACGTGTGTAAACACAGCAGAGTTGACCTGTTATAGAAGAACAGCTTCAGTTTTAGCAGCTCGGTTTGGTCTCTGTAGTTTAACGTCTTGAGGCCGTCGACAAAACGCTCATCTGCCTCGAAATTATAGGAGTCAAACCGGGAAAACACGGATTCCATCTTTACTTTAGCTTCATTAATATACCTGTAAATAAAACTCCACCTGGTGAACATAAACAGAAACACTTCCTGATGACCAATGCGCAGAAGAAGGTCTTCATCTGACTTAAGCCGCACAGCTTCTGCTGCAGCGACACCGATGGTGAGATGTGGTACTGCACCGAAACTCAATGAATAAGTTAATTATTACAATCATCTCCAATCACTGCGTTTCAGTACAGATTCAGTTACATCTGCATTGCTAAAATGTTTTAGAGAATAAACCAAGCTTAAAGATAAAAAATGATTAAACTCGGTCCTTGAATCATACTCTAACTACATGAGATTATTGTTAGTCCTTTTACAAAGTAAATGTGCCACCTACTTTAAATCTTAAATTCCACACAATTTATAATATTGAGATAAATTTATGCTGAAACTATTCATGTGATATTATTTGAATTCTTAATAAATAAATAAACAAACATATTATTTGTCTCCGGGAATATCAGATGTGAAACATCCTTAGTGATAAGAGGTTAAAGAAATAATTATGTTTAATTTAAGTTTAATTTGTGAATTCACTGTAATACAGACCAGAGATCTTTCCTGCCAACAGCCATCACTGTCTACAATAACTCTTTGAAGACTTTGAATTAATTAAACAATATTTAATTTCCTTTCGGGATCAGTATTCCTGAATTTGAATTAAAAAAAATAATTAAAAAGTCATTTGTAGTTTTCCTTCCACTGCACAAATATGTTTGCTATAAAATATCTTCAAGTTAGTGGTTGCAATGTGTTACCATTATATTATAAAAACAACTGTCGACTACTTTAGATTACTGGCTTGGATTCATCCTTCTGTAGTGATTTGTTAAAAAAACAATATACCATATGGGTTAGAAAGTAATTGTCTTTTTTAAATTATTGTTGCAGCTTCTCAATGTTGTGTTTAATGAAAAGCAGATATTTCAGCATGTTTTGTTTGAAACCGTAGATCTTAAGCACGTGTGGTTGAGCGGAAATCTGACCCCCGTGTGATTGTGTGCTTCAGTGCTGGCGCCGTCGTTGGCCACAGCCGACCAGCTGTTGAGTGAGAGGGTAAGTGTTTGAGCAGATCAGTCTGAGGGAGAGTCAGAAATTCGACTGCTTGTTGTTTTTCTCATCACTGGAAGCAAAGATTCAAACAGATAAAGAGGGTGGTGACCTCAACAAGTGAGGAAATCTCATCCTATTAACCTCTCAGAAGGTGATGTTTCTTTTTTGGAGCGTTTGGCATAAACAGTCAGCAGACGTCCTGCAGACATTTTTGAAGGTTAAAAATTACCCATTATGCAAAACTCACATTTTGTGTGTTTCTGTACTTCTGTTTGGATTTCAACTGCTTCTAAAAGAAAAAAAGGTTAAAAAAAAAAAACACGCACACTTTTGGTTTTTTGGTGTCTGGAAAGGGAGCCATTTCAAAAACTTCCCAAATGCTATGTCAAGTTCAATGTGCATTCCTCCGTTACCTAGCTACCCCAGCAAATCCCCAGTCCCTCACCTGGCAACTCAAGCGAAGTTCCAGCATGTTTGGTCAGCTGGTTTTACCCATGTATGGGCTGTACAATGGCTGCTGGAAAAGGTTTTTGACTTTTGGTTTACCAGAAAGTACTTGCTGCATTCTTGTTGGTTGTCCAGGAGGCTCCACTAATGTTGTTCAAAGATATACGGCTGTATAATTGGGCACCCGTTTGCAGCCATTTTCACATGTGAGTGTCAATGCTATTTTTTTTTTAAAGTGAACAAGAGGCCCTTAAGTACAATGTACAAAAATGTCTCTAATTTACAGTAAAATACCAGTAGCTTTGGTTGCCAGAATTTTACCTAATAAACACGGTAAAATCTGTATTTATACAGTGAAATACTTGCAGCCGCAGCTGCTGGTAATTCACTAAAAATTAAACTTTTTCTTTTCCAGCTCATTCTTAAAGGAAATCATAATAGGCAGAACTGACCAAACTAAAATCTCATTATGCAAGAATTATTTTGTGTAAAAAATTTAGTTAATATGTTTTGTATAGCGCGTTCAAGGACGCATAATAGGTCAAGGTGTGAACAAAAATTTATTGAATGGGATTTAGAAAATACAAAAATGAATTAAAAGCTAAGTAAATAATACAGTCACTTATAAAAAGAGATGAGCATTCAGAGTTTGCTCAGAGCTCTCCTAAACACTCCACACAAAACACATTTATTTTGCCTTTTAAAACAGTTTTACAGTAACTATGAAAACCCTTCTACGCTGTTCTTATCTCTGGCATTTTCTAATCTATAAAAGCACCATATTTTTTCTGTCTTCTCAGCCACAGCTGGAGTCTGCAGCAGGCCCCGCTGGCGCTGCGTATCTGTGTCGCTGGAGTTTGGGAATCGTCTGATTCTGACGAGACGGACGAGCGAAGCAGAAGGTCAGAGTGCTGCTGGAGCTGCAGTCGTAGTTTCCATCCTGGTCAGACAGAAAAAAGGAAGGAAGTTCCCAAATAATGATAATAACGAAAAGAAAGAACAGCTATATTTAGTAATTGAAATGGTTTTTAAATTACAATCACAAAAAGGGTGAAAAGGAAGTACACCCTCTTGGGATGGGAATTTAAAAACAACATATTCCACTTAGTCAATATTTATTAAACAAAAACAATGGAAATAGGTCCGCTTTGGTTGCTAGGTAACGGGGTGGGCAAGGCTGGGGTTGCTAGGTAACGGCACAATGCCTGCTTTTGTAATGGCTCGTTTTCCACGCAGCTAAAAACATTAAATTACTGTAAAAAACGGTTTTGGTTTTTTTAAGCCCCTGAGTTGCTGTTTTTAGAAGCAGTTGAGAACCATCTAGAGGTATTAAACGCAAAATGTGAATTTTGCATGGCTGTTATTTTGAAAACAATTAAATTAAATGAAAACAAACAGCTTTTTAAAGTCAGAAACCTACAGTTACGTGTTTTATGTCAACCCTAATAGATGAGGAATTATTCGGCCGCTGTTTTAGTGTTATGGACTCTAAAGTGCTCCACAAATATGAAATCTTTGAGTTTCAAAACTCAAAAATGTTCCTGTTTTTTTTTTCTAGAAAATTTCTGAGATTAATCAAAAAAAATTTTTTTTTCAAGCCATAATTGCCCTAATAAGTCCAAATAAAAAGAAGCTGTAAAACACAGTTGTGAAACGCAATGATTGCATTGGATGTGCTGAAATCACCGTTAAGGTGATGAAAATCCAGATTTTCCAAAAATGTTAACTTCAAAAATCAGAATAAATCGATGAAACCTATTTATCGCCCAGCCCCGCCCGGAGGGGGTACGATGCCCCGTTTCTGTCCTCACCTCTGTTACGGCCGTGCTCTGACTGTTTCGGGCTCTCTGGTTCACGGTGCCTCCCTTGTCCTCCCTCTCTCTCTGCTTCATGAACCTCTGGTTGACGATCCGGGTCACGCTGTCGTTCCTCTGCAGCGGTCTGGTTGGCGCCCTCTCCAGTTTCTTCAGCCCGCTCTTCGCCTTCTGGCCCGAACCCGCAGAGGCCTTGTCTGCTCGGCCGCTCACCCGGCGCAGGAACTCGGTCACCAAGCCGCACCGGTTTGCGCTGGTAGATCTGGTGGGCAGCTTGGAGGGGCTCAGGTTCTGGGCTGGGTTTGATCTGATACCAGTTTGCCGAGTCCAGGTGAGGCCGTTTGTGTTCTGCTGCGACGGGTGCCACGACCCTCGATCTCTGGAGCTGGAAAATGACGAAGATGAGCTCAAACTGGGTGGTGAGGAAGGAGATGAGGAGTGTCTGCGGAACGGTTTGGGGGAGGAAGTGGAGCTCCTTCGACCTGCTAACCCGTCCAGCGAGGTGGAGATGTGCTGGGAGCGAGCAGAAACCAGCGAGGAACCGCTTCTCACCCCCTGAGTCTCATCCGTCTGCTGGCCAACGCTCACCATCAGCGGCTTCGTGTGGGTCTGTGTACCTGAGCAGGCTACGTCCACCCAGCGGCCTGCGAGCCTCCCTTTCTTCTCCGGAGTGCCGGCGTGAACCATCTGCCTCCAGCCGGCCGTCATCTCCTTCATGTCGTCGCTCAGGTTAGCGGAGGAGCCCAGGCAGAGCTGAGAGAAGGACGTTGGCGGCGTGCACCAGGGAGACGAGGTTTCCACGGATGACCGGTTTGCAGCGGGGCTTTGCTTCAACTGAGCCAGCTGGACTCTGCGGGCCGACGGGGGGCTGTAGTAGATGCGGAAAGTCGTCTTCTCTGGGGCGGTGTGGCTGCGCTCCGCCAGCATCTGCTCAAAATTGAGACCAGGGAAGCTGAGAGGCATGATTAGGTGGTCCCACGTCTTAACCGGATCCTCTCGGTCCAACTGGGCTGCCTCCTGGCTCAGGTAGCACCAGTTCTTCCTTCGTGGGCCGCGTGGGGAAAACAGCTGTTGAAGTCTGCAGATCCTGTGAAACAATTAATTGGACAAATCGTGACTAATCGATTATTTGCAGACATGTTGCATGTTATTGTTTACGTCTGGAAACTGCGCACACGTTAACAATCCAAAATGGCTCTTCTTCTTCTTCTTGTCATTCGTAGCTGCGCAACAAAATGAAACCTGGAGATGTAGGTATTATTCATTTAGTGCAGCTGCAGAAGAATAACTCAAAACCCCTTCTATTCTTCTCATCTCTCACTGTCTTGACTGACAACAGCTCCACGAATGTGTCATTATTCAACACCATGAAACACGCAAACATTCCCCACACAAAGATCAAAATATCCAGTCTGTTACAGTTTTAGGTTTGATGTTCATTTTACAATTATTACCAAGTGACTGTCTGAACACACAGGTGATTGATTAGGTAATTTAAACTCCTGTTCTACTGATGATCAGTAATGGAGTTGCTATTTTGGTCGCCTTTTTTTTTAACTGAACCAAAATACATCGAATTCTGCATCACTTCGACATCTTATGGTTGTAAAAGTGAAGTTAGCATAACTGACCCACTTCACGCTCTGTCACCATTTTTTATAAATAAAACTTTTTCCTGATCTTGTTATCTCGTTGTCATAGTTTTTACAATTGCCAGCAAAGCATTGCAAACAAAAGGAAAACACAGACCTGTGATCTTCAACGTGTTGCCCATCGTGGAAAACGGCACCAACGGAAAGCTGAGCAAAGAAAGAGAAAGCAAATTAAACAAATGAAGCAAATTAATGCTTCGTCTGAATTGTTGATTTTTAATTCCAACTGAATGCAGGTCTATGGCTCATGTCAGCCACTTAAAGTCTCCAACTCCCTCAAATGACCTCCCCTAATGAGGTTTTCAGGGCTATTTTGCATTTTTTACTCAATTTGTACAGCACCACTTTACAGAATTATAACCTCGGCATACTTTATAAATCTGATACAAAATATATAAGAAAAGCTGTACAATTCTAGAAAAGCATTAATAATCAGTCCAATGCAAAGCTAGTTACGACACCAGAGAGTCAAACTGGCAGTGGTGGGCAACGCTAACTAGGAAGCTCGTTATGCTAAAGCTAAATATCAACATATTATATAGCGGATGATAATACTAAAGGGCTACCTTTAAATACTAAAATAAAAGCACAAATTTAGTTTTGCTAGCTATTATTTGAATGTACTATGTCCTTAGATATAGTATTTATGTTAACATATTGTTTTGTTTTGTATATCATTGACCACATGTATGAGCAGCTATTCTGGAGACCCACCAGTTATGAGTTCAAACTCTCCATGTGGTGCCCTGAGAAATTAGCTTAATGAATAATTTCTTGGTAATAAAAGTTTTTTTGTCAATTTGTCAATAACCAAAGTGGCTCTTGAAGTCCACAAACCCCAGTTTTTGTGTTTCTGGATCCTCTCTGACTTTGCAGCCCGTAATCACGAATCCGACTTAAACGAATCTAAAAGCAATAATGGTGATAAGTCACATTATCAGCATGTTATCCTGCTGAAGTTGAAGCTGAAACGCTGCCACATAAAGCTGCTGGCATGGCTTTACAGTCTTTTCATCACTGCAGACTAAATGTTCTCAGAAAGAGGGGAAAATAAATAATAAAATGCAATTTTTGAAGTTATAGATGCTTAATATAAAAATCAGGTGTGAACAGTAAAGCAGAAAAGCTCAATTTGGAGAATTTTTCTGCATATAAAGTTTGTATATCTGAACACGCCTGCCCTGGTTGGCTGCAGCTGATACAAGAGATTACCCTAAATACTTTGGCACGAGTCTTCTCATGAAGCAGGCAGAGAGACAGAGATCATGGGGAGGACTTCCCACTGTGTCAGACAGCCTCACACTCAGCGGGAGGATTGGAGTCTGAGCGGCACCGTTACCTCGGCTGCCTCCTCACACGCAGACGACTTCGCCTTGCTGTCATCTCGAAGCTCGGCGCTGAGGTCCTGCAGCAACCCGAGCAGCGCAGACAGGGTTTTATCTCTAGACTGAGGATAAAAACAGAAAACGAGACGTTCTGAACCAAGCTTGAAAAAACAAACATGCAATAACTGACAACCTTTCACTTAAATGTAGAGTAACTTAAAAAAAATAATACCTCAAGTAGGGCTGCACCTTATCAATTATTTTACTAATCATTCAGACAATTAACAGAATTAAGAAAACTGGATTTTTCATTTGACCGCTTGAACTTAACCCTAGAAATACATTAAAAATGAAAATAAGCAAATAATCCAATTAATTTTTCAAATAACTAATTTCATTGCCTAAAATGAAATGAAACAGCATTCTTTCAGTAAACGCTTGATCATTTGTAGTAGGGAATGCATCTGCAGTTAAAAAATTCTTCTAACAATATGTGAAAAGCTCAGCTGTTAGTACTTGATTTATCATAAATACATTGTAGAGCTGAGTGTATTGTTTGATTAGAAATAGTTTGAACTCCTCAAATAAATGAATAGAAATAGTTTGAACTCCTCAAGTAGCATCATTTCGGCTTCACCTGCAGAAAAATCTGTAGAATGTGCCGGGCGGGGGGGTGTTTGTGTGTTTTTTTTGTTGTTGTTTTTTTATCTGATTAATTGATTCTTCAACTTCAAAGTTTCCACAGGTTTGAATACTTCATCTGTTCTCCATTGTACCTCTTTTCCTTCCAGATTGGTTCCTCTGACGTTGCACCACTGATGAAGGATCCACAGAGTATGCAACGACAGTTGCAGCTTCGGATCCTTCCGGTCGTCCACGACTTCCCCTTGCTTCGTTTTCTGTTTCGCCTGCATGCTGCAGACTTCTTCCACATGCAACTCCTTCAGACGTTCATAGTTTGCAGACAGAAAAGAGGAAAAATCCCAAGCGAATCCCTCCTTCTGAGGGCCCTTTTCGTCGCCCCTGAGGAGGGCATCCATCTTCTCGATGAAAGCCAGCAGCATGGCCTGCAGGAGCTCCAGCGTCTCCGTTAGAGGTCGCTGTGCCTGGACGGTTGGGGTCATGTTCATCGGAGATGTGAGAGGAAACGACATTCTGGGCGGCACTGACAGAACCTGAATGGCTGACGATAAAATGCAGGCATGATCTCTGAGAGCAAGCAGAAACTCGTAGTCTTTGGCGGCCATCTCTTTAAGCGTAATATTAGTTGTTTGGTTAGCTTCTCTCTCCTGGCTGGATGGAGGCTCCTGCTCTCCACCCACCGGACCTTCCCAACCTTCGCTGATCTGCTTGTCCATCTGCGATTGGCTGCAGAGCGACTCTCCCCCTTGTCTATCCTCTGCCTTCTCTCTCTGGTTCTTCATTTCTCCATCTTTAATTGCTGCAATCAGCGATGGATTCTCATCAGCAGCATCTTCTTCTCCTCCTCCTGTTTTCTCCCTAAGGTCACACATCTCCGCTCGCAGGCCGCGGTTCTCTACCTCCAGCTCGACGATGCGGCGGCTCAGGAGCGTGGTCTCTTCTTCCACTAGTTTCAAATGAACTTTGACCTCTGCTTCCCTGGCATGGGCAGAGCTCTGCTTGCCATCAGGCAGCAGGAGGACGTCTACGTCTCCGTACGTCGTCTGGTATCGGGCCAGTTCCTCTCGCATGGCCTCGCTGTCTGACACCAGCTTGGTCAGCTTCTTGCACATGAGAGCCAGCTCTTCTTTGGCAAAGTGGAGTTGGCACTTCAGGTCAGTGCTGTCCTCCTTCAGCGAGACAATCAGAGACGACAGAAGTGAAACACAAGTGGTCCACACCATCTTGGTAGGCAAATGTCAGTAAGAACATGTTAACAAACACATTGGTTACATGTCCCTTTTTGCTTTCAGATAAAAGCTACTTTAGCTAAGCTAATTTTGCTAGTTCCAGAGTGAGGACTGCAGTAAACAACACTGACATTTATCCTTGTGTCATACAGAGGCGTGATCGAGTAATACTTGTAATATACGTCTATTGTTTATAATTTGGATAGGCATGAGGCAAGAGCTACTTCTAGTCTTGTGGCTTCCTGTCATAGCAACTGTCATGCCAGTTACAGTACCTACCAAGATGGCTGTCAGCTACAAAGTTGACATCACATGAGATCTATGTATGACTTAGCTTAGCTATGTATAACTTAGCTGGTGGCTGGTTTACAGTTGTCTTAGCAACTCAAGAGCAACTGCCTACCAAGATGGCTGCCAGTTACAAGGTTCACGGAAGTGCGACGTCTCATAATTACGTATTGAAAGTTTCAGAAGAAGAAGAAAATACCTCAATTTGCTGAGAAAGCCTCCTCTCTGCCTTGCTGACCGTTGATCGGATGCTTCTCCTTTTCAACGTGTTCTGAGGAAGAAAAGAAACGCTTCAGTTGAGATTTTCAGCCGAAACTTTTTATTAAACCTGATATTTCACTGAGCCGACAGGCATCATAGCTTAATTACTTTACTGATTACTTGATTTTAGCAACTAAAATCAATTAAATTCAAATTCAAAAATACTTTATTGATCGCAAAAGGAAATTAAATGTTGTAAGTCATGAATTCAAATTCTTCAAAGAGTTACTGTACCTATCGATGACTGTTGGCAGAAAACAGGTTAAAATCTTACAGAGTATTTTTGATCTAGTTTCTGGTGCAAATATCTTAGTGGACTTAAAATAAGACAAAATAACTTAAAAGTAGCTTCTTAGTGAGATATAAAAGCTTCTTTTAAGTCAATAATTCCTTGATATTGATGAAAAAGTACGAGTTCCACTTTATTATTTTTACTTTTAACAACACAACTTTCCCATGTTGTATAAAATAACAGCAGATTCAAGTTTCCGCCATTTTATTTCTACTTTCAGGTGATGAAAGAGAGAAAAGAAAAAAAATCAAATGTCAGAATTACGACCTTGATCTCAGAATTCATATTTTTTTCTCAGAATTCTGACTTTTAATCTATTTTTTCTTTGTTAAAATGCAATGAAAATGGAAAAACTGCCAAACATTTCTTAATTCTTTCATCATTTCCAGCCAAAGATTATGAAGAGCCGCAGTGGAAGTCGCAGAGAGCGACTTGCGGTCCAGAGCCACAGGTTGCAGACCCCTGGATTAGGTAATCTAAGTGGATTTCACTGCTGGGATCAAAGAGACTAGCGCCTGTCTCAGAGCCAAAGTGCTGAATCCAGGATTAAACCGAACACATGTCACCGTCCTCAAAGGTGGTCGAGGGATCTAAATGGGTAAAACTCAGCCTGACGGTTCCGTGCTGGAGAATCGTCAACGTTTGGATAAAAACGTTTGATGGAGGTTCTGGGTCAGTGCATGCGGGCACCGACGCCTTTCTGGATGCCATAATACATCCTGATCCAGATTTAGCCCAGCTTATTGCAAGCAGAACGGCAGAAAGTCGCAGAGGGTCTATTTTTGTAATCTCTGCCTTTTTTTCTGTCATCTCAGGCGACTGTGTCAGCTGTGCTCAGGGTTCTGGCCCAAGCATACCAGCGGGCTGCGTCGCCCATCCCCGGCACCAAGCAGCTGCCGCCCGGCCCTCCTCTCATATCACTGAGGGTCACCTTACCCAGGGATGAGGGGACAGCTGGCTGGATGGGTGCAGCTGTGGTGGGTAACGGAGACGATGATGCCTGACCACAAAGACGGACGTTTATTCCAGCTGAAAGCTTCACTTTCATCTAATGTATATCTGGAAACTATAAATCAGTCATCAATGTCATATAGGGGTGGGTTGAATAAGAGTAGCCCTACTGTTTTACCAGAACAGCCTGTATGACAATATTATATTGTATAAAGTAGAGCAAGAGTAAATGGAAGCAGCTGAAAGTCTCACTTTTCTACAAGCAGAGATCAAAATACCCAAAAAATGCACTCAAGTAAGAGTAGCACTACTTTAGCATATTCTACTTCAGTAAAAGATAACCGTCCAAGGAAATACTTAAATTAGAGGAAATAGGTGACTGAAGTACTGAGCAACTCAAGTAAGAGTAGCACAACTTTTAAATGAAAATATTTCATGTAAACAACATTTACACAAAATCTTTCCAAGTCTGTTTGGTCTAGTTTCTAGTGTAAGCACCTGAGTACACTTGAAATAAGACAAATCTAATTTCTAAGTTACTTTTCATCAAGATATATGAGCTTGTTTTAAGTCAACTTTATGTTTCTTAAAAAGAAAAAAAAGTACTAGTTACTGGCAGATTATTTCAGTTCTTGCAAGACATTTTGACATCTTATGAATGAAATAATTTTCTGGTGAAAATGGTACTTTTTCATCACTATTAAGGAATTATTTACTTGAATCAAGCTCTTATATCTGGCTGTCAGTTTTGTCTTATTTCAAATATAATATTTGCGATCGAAACTTGGAATACTTGGTAAGATTGTGTTTTTAATGTGTAATAAAATGTAGCAGCTTGTTTTAATTATGATTTGTTAATGCTGTAGTATGCAACTTTTATTAAAAAAGTAGATTTGTATATATTTGTTAAAACTGTCGTGCAGATAATCTGCAAAAAGATGCATCTCCTCTGCCCTCTCTTGGTTCACAGCTTGTCATGACTGCTAGCCTAGTTAACATAGTTGGCGCTGGATGAACGGTTTTCCTGTAATGGCAATATGTTTCTCCGCCATCAGCACATTTAGCAGCAACTACATGAGGTTGACTGACAGCGCTAAGATCCTCCTCGCGGTTCTTGGTTAGTAGCGGTGCATTTCTCCTAGTAGCTCAGGAAGGAGATGGAGAAGATTGATCTTTTCACAGATTATCTGTTTCACAACAAACTGTCAGGATGTGGTGACAGTTTTAACAAATATGTAAAAAACATGTTTGTTTTTTTAAATGAAAGTTTTAACTTGCAGTTTTAATCTGTAATTTTTTCACCAATGCTCCCCTCAAGTTTCCATAGTTGCCAAACTGTCACACCATGGCAATAGTTTTAGCCAAAATATTTATATAAAAACATGTATATAAAAAAAATTTAAATAAAAGTTACATTCTCTATATTTAAGCAAATTTATTTCACGTTACGCAATTTTATGTTTAAACTGATGTCGTTTGATAAAAGTCACCTCTCTGGCTTTCTCCACCTCACTCTGCAGGACCTGCTTGGCGACCTCCAGCGCCTGCGTTTTCTCACGCAGCATCTCGTTTTCCCACTCCAGCTGGGAGTTTTTCTTCTGCACCGCCTCCAGCTCGTTGTAGAGGCGGAGGGAGACGCTCTTCGCAACCTGGGAGCGAAACGAAAAGATGGTTAGCAACAGCTGTTACGACATATCCTGTACAACAACTGTGACCGTAGGTAGGGGATGTTGCAGTTTTTCACCACACTTACCTACAGCACGTGTCATATTTGAAGAAACTGTTTCTGTCTCTCCTTCCTCCGAATAATAAAATGTAACGTTAGAATAGTAGTGGTCAGATAGTTACTTTTTACTCTTTGGAGGAAGGAGAGAGATAGCAGAAATCGTTTGGTTTAAATATTTTGTTTTTTACTATAAGTTACAGTCAGAGATGAACAGAGTACCCAGAAATTGTACTCAAATAAGAGTAAAATTATTTCAACATATTTTTTACTATAGTAAAAATAGTATTTGGTAAAATGTCTACTCAAGAACTGAGTAACTGATCAAATTATGAAGAATCATTTCATATTTAAATATTACATGATCAGATGGACCAGAATATAAAGTTAAGTGGAAATTTTAGTATTTTAAGGGTGAAAATGACAGTAATTTATATAAGTAACTAAAAAAATAACAAAATCTGGTAAAATATTTATTTTTCCAAATCAGTTTCTTTCGATAAAAAACTTATGAAACTTTAACAGAAACTGCAGGTGTGTGTGTCTGTTTGGTGAAGTTTAGGTTAAAACTAATTTTACGCAAGAAAGAGTAGAAATACTTCATGATAGAATTACAAAAGTAAAAGTAAAAAGTACAGTGTGGTAAAAATACTCCCAAAAGTAATTTTTTTTCCCAAAAAGTTATTCAAATTAATGCAATTAAGTAGATATAACTACCCAACTATGGTTACAATACATAAGACATAATATTAGTGGCCAGATGTTACTGATGATTCTTTGTTTGGATTTTTCTTAATCCCCCAACCCATAAAGCTTATGTTTTTGACGAAGCACAGAGTTGAAACGCAACAGCGTCACAATATGAGTGGTAACAGAATCTGGTGAAACGCCGGCAACTCCACTGAGGGAAAAAGAAGAGTGGACTGCTTCCACTCTGCAGGAGTGTCGTTATTTTTAATGAGCGCGTGCAGCGTGGTTTCTGCAGCAGCTGGTCTTGGCTGAGACACTTTACAAGGAAATTCTTGTGACGGGAATTCTCCACTTGAGTGAATGCAGGAGGGGGTCAGAGTCAGGTCAGGCATCGTACTGAAAACATTCAACAACAGTCACTACACTTTCATGTTCCTGGTAGATGGGAGAACAAGTCAGAGCCTAATTACAATCCTGTATGTTAAAAATATAAACAGGATGCATGAGAAGGCTGTTTTAGTCTAATGACATGACTGTGGTCCTGGTGAGCAGCAGGAACGGCTTTAAATCAGAGCCAACATCCGTGAATCTGGCTACAGTCAACTGATTGAGCTCTTCCAGTCAGAATGAGCAAGATTGCAGAATAAAAGCAACAACAGGAGAAAACGTTTTGAAAGTCAATTTGATGATTCACACAGGAAAGATCTGAACTTTTACTGTTAGTTTAAAGTTAGTTTTTAGATCCGTAACTAACAATTATTCTGATGACTAATCGGATAAATCCTTGGCATATTATGCAGAAGTTTTATTTAAAGTTGCAGGATGTAACATTTATGAAAATATGTTGTTTTTTCACATATTTGTTCAAACTGTCACCATAACAGTTTAACGTGAGACAGAAAATCTGTGAAAATATTGATCTCCTGAACGTCCTGGTTGAGCTACTATTACTGTCTGAAGAAACGTAACACGCTCGATCACAAACAACCAATCAGAGCCAGGGGGTGGGTCTTGGCGCTGTCAATGCACTTGCTGCTAAATTTGCTAATGGCAGAGAAACAACAAACCATTACAGAAAAACTGTTTATCCACCGTCAGATAAATATCTTTAGCAGAAAGAAGGAGGGAAAGTACACGGGCGTGATTGACAGTGCTAAGATCCGCCTCCTGGCTCTGATTGGTTGTTTCTAGTTTGCACGTTGATGTCTTTTCACAGATCTGTTGATTATTTTTTTAATTAACCAAATAATACCAAAACCTTAACAGGAGATTATTCTGCAGAATTAGAACCAGGGAAAGCTAAAACTGCCACTTGAGGAGTTTTGGGTAGAATATATTTACAAAAAAGGGGTTTTATTTATACCTTAATTTAAAAAATATATGTATTCTTACAGGTTTGACTTCATTACTGCTCTGACTTTGTTGGGGTTTTTTTTTTGAGTGTGAACCATTTTTTTTTTGAGTCTCTATACTCAATCAGGTAGCAACTAATCAATAACTATCTTAGTTAACGGTTATTTCAATAGCTGATTAATCACAATTAATCGCTTTGGACTGAATTAGTTTCAGCTGATTCCTGCTGGGTTCAGACCTTTATGTCGTGCTCCAGGCTGCGGACCAGCTCCCCGTCCACCTGCCCCGTCTGAGCCACCCGGATGCTGCGCCGCTCGGCCTTGCGGAGGCGATACTGCAGGATGCGACACGTCTTCTTGGCCTGCTCCAGCTGCAGCCGCAGCTCCTGCAGCTGGTACACCTCCTCCTCCTGGAACATGTCGCGCATCTCCAGCATCTCACAGCGAAGCTCCTCCACCTCATCCTGTGGTAAACAACACAGCTGGTTTGATGCAGGGAAAATAAAGGGCCTTTTTTGAAAAAACTCTGTTTTTTTGGTCAAGTTTCAAGCATAAATCAATTAACAGCATGACAAATTTAAATAAATTTAACAATTCCAATTGCATAGTTTCTGATTTTTCTCTTTTCTTTCTTTCCACCAAAAGCTGGTCGACAAAATTCTTCAGTCTGGTGCTTTGGTTTCAACTAGCTTCTTTTAATCAACTTTATAATTAATTTTATTTGTTGTTTTGTTTATTTATTTTGGATATTTAAAATGTCTCCCGGTTCCGGTGTTAAATATTCATTAGAAATTAAAGTTTATTGATCTTAAATAATGTACTTGCATTATTTGCCATTATCATTATATAATTCACAAAACAACAATATTATTGTTTATTAAAATAACTTCTAGGAAAATTTTAGGTCCAGCAAAATGTTTTCTAGTGACAGAACTAGTTTTAAGATGGTGAAACACCAGTAGCTCCACTACCATATTTTTTCTAAATGTCTAAAGAAAGGAAGGCGTTTAAGATTCCTATTTTCATTCATAGTGTTGCTTATTACATAAATACCAGGTTTTCTAACAAAACATGAAGAAGAAATAATTAGTACTTAATAATGCAGTTTATTACACACTCAATCTTTACTTAAGTTATGTTTTTTAAGTTTTAAATGAAAAATAACAGGAAGGTCCCTGGAAGTTGAAGGTTTCCCAGCAACCCAAACCACAAGATCCAACATTTTTGTTTAGAATAAACGAATTAACAGTAAAACTTGATGTTTCATTGCCAATTACTTAGAAGAAAATAAGCCAATAACCTCATCTTTATTGTTTTTTTTATTTTTATAATGTGATGAGTTGTTGAATTGTGACGTGTGAGAGAGGAGACTGAAATGCCAAAATTAGATTGGCGCACATGAACACTGAAATTAAAGGAACCTCCAAAAATAGTGCAAACGGTTTAAGATATACACAAAAAGAGAAAACTGTGTGTGTGTGTGTGTGCGCGCACACACACACACACACAGAGAGAGAGAGAAAGCGAGAGAGAGATACTTTATTTTTTAAACAAAGTCACTTTCGCAAAATAATGCTGGAAATTAGAATTTTGTGGAGAATAACTCAGAGATGCTCCAAATTTGCAAATTAAGTAGCCTAATTCCAGACGAAAACCACCAAAGAGAATAAAAAAAATAATTAAAAATAGCGCTCTGAGCTCCGACTTACTTTCAGATACTCGTTCTCTGACCTCAAGTCTTCAACCTCCCTCTGCAGCTCCTCGCTTGTCTCCCCCATCAGGAAATCCATGAAGGCGGTTTTACCCGAACCGAGCCCTGCTGCAGCCGCCGCCGCATCCGGCTGGAGCGCGCAGGTATCTGATTTTGCGCAGGTATCTGGTTTTGCGCAGCACTGCGCGTCCTGGCGCGTCCCCCCGCTGTCCGGGCTCTCATAAGCTCTGCCGTCGATCCAGCTTAACTCGTTATCGCTGCTCGGAGAGTCGCGCTTGTTGCCCTCCGAGGCGCAGTCGGAGATCTCCGAGCTGCTGTCCGAGGAGTACTGCTTCCCGGACGGGCAGCCGGAGTCTTTGCTCAGGTCCTCCGAGGCGTTGCTGGCGTCCGACAGCTTCCTCTGCGCGGCGGGGCTCCGGTGGCTCTCCGCGGGGACTCCAGCGGGTTTCCCCGCTTGCTTTCTCTGCGGTCCGGCTGGTTTCATGTCTGCTTTACTCCCCCACTGACCGGACTGTGTGTCCTCTTCACTGGACAGATCTTTCTTCTTCTTTTTGTGGACCAAAAGCTGCTGCTGCTGCGTCCTGGACTGCTTCTGACTGCGGAGCGCAGACTTTGCGCCTTTATCACCGTCTTTAGTCATTCTCTTCTTCTAGTTTTTAAACAATATTTTTCGAGTTATTTCAGAGTTAGAACTCAAAACTCACTACTGGAGGATGTTTGGCCAAGAGCTCTGCATCTTAAACACTGAAGCATTTCCACGCGCGTAAAGACAGAAATAAATCGTGTTGGAGGAAATAACTTCCGGTTACGCTGCAAAATAAAACGGTGCACGGTGATTATCCCGTCATTTTAGTCACTATTCTCAACATTCTTAAAAACAAATGACTCAGTGTCTGAGTCATGACTCCACATGTTCATATTCTGGTTAAGGGTTTGGAAATTTAATCTCTGAATAGTTTTAAGGATAATCCCAAAGTTTTCAGTATTTTTAATCCTCTCTTTCGTCTTTATAGTTGAGAAAATGTTCTACTTTAACAGAGTTTTGTTTTCTGGACTCTTTTCTTGTTCAAATAAAGTGGCATGTTCAGCCTCTTTTAGAAAATATTTGTGTTATTATAAAAACAAACAAACAACCAAATAAATAGTGAACAGCTTCCATCACACTAAACCATCCACAATTTTCACATTCAGAGGTATATGAAGATTTGTAATTGCATCATTATTTTAAAACCCACACAGTCTGCAACAAATAAAAGCAAATTAATTCATAAACAGACTAATTTGTTCTGAAATTCACTGTGTTTTGAGCGACTTTTTCTTAACCTGTAATTAACTCTATGTACACAAGGTCTATATACATCTATAAGAAATATATGTATAAAAATATTCATTAAAAAAAGAAAATATTTAGTCATCCAAGCCCTTCACTTTTTTAAATAAATGAGGTGCAAATTTCCTAAAATATAAATATAGTGGGCATCAATATAAAAAATTTTATTTTCATTTTATTTTATTCAGTGTTTATTCAGATTCATGGTATTTATTTTAACAAAAGTTTGGTAGATTTACTCAATTACGTTTATTTGATTTTTTGGGGAGGGGGGGGGGGGACTTATACAAATATTCTTACTATGCTGTATTTTTCACTTGAGTTATTTTATTAAGAAGTATCTCTTACTTAATAAGATTTCTGGATATTCCACTGTTAGTATCTTCACTGAATGAAAACAAAATTTTGACCAAAAATTTACTGTCACATACCTGCAGTTTGTGTTAAAGTTTTATGAGTTTTATTATTGAAAGAAACTGAAATGATGGAAAAAATTATTATTTTTTCCTGATTTTGTTATATTGTAACTGTCATTTATATTAATGATTTTAATTTTGATCCCTAAAATATAAAAATTCCCACATAACTTTATTTTTGGGTCCTTTTGATTATGTCATTTTTAAATGATTAATGTTTTGATCAGTTACTCAGTACTTGAGCACAATTTGATGTCTCTTTTTACTCTTACTTGAGTAATTTCTTGCTTCTTTTTCTTTTACATGAGTAAAAATGCCAATGTATGGTTTTTCTTTTGTATCCTACCTTTAATTTTAGTTATTTTTAATTCAAATCTACTCAGACATGTCGACAACTTAAATATAAGTATTTATGTCTGAAGATTAACATTCAGCCTGGTGGTGGAATAAATTTCCTTTTTCATGTGTTTTAATTAATTGTATGAGTTTAAAATAGCAGCTCTTTGCCTTCTATTTCTAGGCATTTCCTAGCTGCGATCTAATTGGCTGAAGGCCCTGCCAATCACCGTGTCCTTGCCACCCACTTCCGGCAGGCGCCAGAGGCGCTACACTTTTCAGTTATTTATGTAAGCCGAGGCCAAACTGACACAAATTGACAGGTATGTGTCCTGTGTAATTGTTCGTGTCAGAGTGTAGAAACGTGTTTTCGTGTAAACGTGTTGGTGCCATGAGCTAATCTTGGCTCCAGATCACTGTTAACTGTCTCCAGACGCGATACTAGTAGCTAGTTAGCCGTTAGCTGAGACTTTGTGAGGAGCGTTGCTGCCGACGGCGAACCAAGAACATGTTGTTGTTTTTATCACAACCTCTGTTGCAGTGATGTTCGGCTCCACCAAGTGCTTTTAAAGAACTGTCCGGGTTACAGGTCGTGTTTGTGGCCGTCTGTGATGCTAGCAGGGAGGCGGGGCAGCAGAAACGTCGGACCCGACGGTGGAAACATGGCCGCTGAGTAACATTTTATTACCTTTTTCTGCTCAGTATGAACAGCGAGGAGGAATTTTTCGACGCTGAGACAGGTGAGGCTGGCTAACAGAGACGTTATGGTTTCTCCTAATGTCTCAGTGAATGAAATGGGTTTTCTGTTTCTTGAAACCTGCCCCGTCCCAGGACTGGAGTCTGATGATTCCTGTGAGGTCAGTTTCAAAGATGCCCTGGTGTTTGACAGCAAACAGGCGACCGATGGCAGCAGCATGCAGGAGAACGGGGTGTGGGAGCACAGGTGAGAGAATATCTATTCTACTCACTCTATTTATATTGCTACAACTCATGACCCATCATCTGAATCCAATTTACAGTAAAAAAAAAAGTAGTTTCAATTTAATTATTGATGCCAAATTGGTGTTATCAAAGTGTTTTCTATCTAAAGAACTCCAGCAGTTTGCTTTGAATTATTATTGAATCTCAATGAATGAACTTCTTATATTAATTTGACCATTTTTTTGTTTAATTTATACAAGTACATCATGCAACATTGAGCTGATTTTTAATCTACTGTAATTTTATGCACATATTTGAATTTGTTTTTGCTTTTTGTCTGATCTTGATACTTAAATAAAACAATTAAGTCTATTTATATAGCACATTTCAACAGATCAAACTGCTTTACATCATGAAAACACAAAGTAGAGTCAGCAATTGTAAAAACAAATAACAGATGTTATTAACTAAAAACTAAATACCCTGTTACAGTAAACGTAAACAAAGAAGACATTTGAGCTGTCAGTGTGGAGTCCACCAAGTTGGCTTTCCTGGAAACGGTGTAAAAATAAACAGGCGGCGGTGCATGCAGAGAGCGCTGTGTCACAGTATTCAGTCAGATTTTGTTCACAACACAATGAAGTTATGGACTGAGATTTTCTTCAGAGCCAAAATACAAAATATGGTTGTGATTATTATAAACAGCCTGGTGTGCAGCAGGAAGAATAACGAGAGAGCCACAATGATTCTGAGCTAAAGAAGGTTTTTATCTGTCTTTATCGGCTCATTTATTCACATTTTAGCTTGTTTGTGATAATTAATACAAACATTCAGAAAACTTCTGACTGTAAGATAATTGTTGGTAATATACAACGAATGTAATCTGTAGGTTGTTTGAATGCAGGAATGTCTTCAAACAGTTTTTGTTTTTAGAAAACTTTTTAGTGTATTTTAAGTTGAACTGGATAAAAGAAATTATGTTTTTATACATGTGGAGCTAGCATTACTTACATTTATTGTGTGTGATATATTCATTTTTAATTACGAGAATAAAGTCATAATATTATCAGAACAAATGCATAAAAGTAGGAGAAAAAAGCTGATAGTTGTCAAGATCTGATGTGATCATAATGACAAGTTTGAGTTTCTTTCTTCAAAATAAACTTTTGTTTTCACAATAGCTTCAAAGTCCTGCAACTGATAATAATAATTTAATTGTGATATTTTAAAAGATTAAATATTTTCTTATTTGTAAAACTGTTATAAAAGTATTAAGTTATTTATTAAATCACAAGATGCTCAATATTCCTCATTTTAATTTTAGTTAGTTTTTGTGTTGGAGTTCTCATAAAATTACTACTTTACTCTCAGTATTTTTTCTGGTAATGTTACAACTTTATTGTCCTTCAATTTTATTCTCATAATTTAAAAGTAATAATTCTCAGCCTGACTCTAATGCTTCTTTAGTTTTTTTGGCTGCTTTTTGTAAGTTTTCTAATATTTTTTGTCAAAATGTGCACCAGGAAAGCCCTGCCTGCAGAAACAATCTCCAGGAGCAATTTCAGTGTGTGGAGCATATTGAAGAAATGCATCGGAATGGTGAGTCCTTTGCCTTGCAAAAAGCCTCAAACTCATCCGAACAGTAGCAGAATTGTGTGAATGTTAAAGTTTTCTCACAGATTTATTTTGTAATTGTTGAAAAGGAATATTTCCAGTAATTTCTGACAATGTCTTGCCATAATTTTGAATAAATTTGATTTGTCTCCTATCGCAGGAGCTTTCCAAAATTGCGATGCCGGTTGTGTTTAACGAGCCGCTGAGTTTTCTCCAGAGAATCTCGGAGTACATGGAGCACACTCACCTCATCCACAAAGCCTGCAGCCTGTCAGACGCCGTCGACCGCATGCAGGTCAGGGTCATTTATCTTTTATTTCCTCTGGAAATAATCACAGTTTAATCACAAATTAAACTGATCTAGATGAGCTGTTTGGCTCCAAAACCTGGAAAACTTTTTTTTAATGATCCGTGAGAAAATCAGATAGTTTTTTTTCTTATGGAATGAATCACTGCTTATTTTCTTCTAAGGTACATTGACATATTAAATACAAATTTTTGGATTTGGTGCAAAGATGAAGGAAACAAATACACTTCATCCAGAATCAAGTCCCTATTTTATCATCTATGACCCGTCCCTTTACATTTTATGTGTTTTTATTGTCAGAAAAACATTACTCTTTTTTTCTAATTATTATTATTATGTATATTTAATCCCTGAACATTAAATCCTCTTAGCACAGTTCAAGTGGCAACTTATGTGTTCATAATTACAGATTTAAAACAAACAAATGTAACATTGTATAAATGCTTATGGAACAAATCTGTAGAAAAATCTGTCAAAAACAAAAACTAAGAGTAGATAAAGTTTTACTTTTATTGAAATAATAAAACATAATATTCTATCAAAGTATAAAAACATATATGAGCTCAAACTGCATTATCACAACATATATATTATATCTTTTATTTTTATACTTATTCATTGAGTGCTTTGTGCTTAAGATCAATATTTTTCTCCTTTTTATTCAAAACATTTTAATATCAACATGTAACATATTCACATTAAACTGTAAACGAATAAAATAAACAAATAAATAAAAATATAAGCAATTATAAGCTGAGATAATTGAAAACAAGGTGGGTGTATCTTCATTAGCGCAGACAGAGCATCTGTGTAGCATGTGAACACATCTAGTTAATTAAAATCACCAGGTTAATGTAGCAGCATTGACCCAGAAGCTGAAAATCTGTGACATATTTGAAGTCTCTGATTTGCAACAGTTTCTTTCAACCTGTTTATTAGCTAGCGTTAGCTAGCATATCACATTTTAAAGAGGCAGAGACTTTGTTTTCTTACAGCGTCTTTATCTGCCACTGAAATTATGCAAGTCAGATGTGAAGTAGCATGATTGGTGAAAGTTGTTCTGATCTGGTCCTCGTGTGGGTGGCAGGTTGTTGCTGCGTTTGCTGTTTCCGCTGTAGCATCTCAATGGGAGAGAACTGGAAAGCCATTTAATCCTCTGTTGGGGGAAACATATGAACTCATAAGGTAAAACCCGAGATATATTTATCGTAATATCTGCCAGCTTTTCTTAATATTGTGCGCCTGTTTTCTAATTGATTTATATGTTTATTATTTTAGGGAGGATGAAGGATACAGATTGATCTCTGAGCAGGTGAGCCATCATCCCCCCATCAGTGCCTTCCATGCTCAGTCTCTGAAGCAGGAGTTTGAGTTTCATGGCTCCATCTACCCAAAGCTGAAGTTCTGGGGTAAAAGTGTTGAAGCTGAGCCTAAAGGCACAATGACGCTGGAGTTATTAAAGTAAGTATTTACTTCCTTTTTATTTTCATTTTTGCCTGTGTTGTGCATATTGTTGCTTTTATTTGCTGCAACTGATTATTTTAGCAATTGAATTGGTTAATCAGAGCAAAACTGGCACATTCTACAGGTTTTTCATTTAACCACTTAAGTCTTTTTATAGAATATTAAAAATATGTAAATAAACAAATAATTAATTTTGTTAAATAAGAAAAGAAACATTTTATTATTTATGTCTTTTATCTTAAACCTTTATTTCCAATTACATTTCAACCAAAACTCCTCAAGTGGCATAGAGGAGTTCAAATTCACTAAAGAAATGCTATATTATAGCATTTTAGGGAATAAAATGTTTCTTTTTCTTATTTCAAAAAGAAAATTATTTATTTGCATATTTTAATGCAAATAAACAAACAAATTAGCTTAACTACTGCTCTGAATATGTTATTTTCTGCAAATGGCTTTCTTTTTGAGTCGGTATACTCCAGTTTACTATTTATCGATTACTAAATTAGTTGATGATTATTTCAATAATCAATTAATCTTTTCATTCCTCCTGGTTTCAGGAGGAATTAAATAATTAATTTTTTAAGTCTTATTCTTGTGATAAGACTTTATTCTTCTTAAAAGAATAACGTCATGATATCCAGAGAATTAAGTCAAATTTTATGAAAACTCCTGGTTTCAGGAGGAATTAGCTAAATATGATGCTAGTTGTCCAGGAAGCAGCTTCATATTTAATCCAGTTATGAAAGTTTGGATCTTCTTGGATATCAAGACTGTGCTTATGATGCTGTATTTTCACCACAGACATAAAGAGGCGTACACCTGGACGAATCCATTATGCTGCGTCCATAACATCATTTTGGGTAAACTCTGGATCGAACAATACGGAACAGTGGAAATAGTCAACCACAGGTACAGTTACTGGTGCTGGAAAAGCATATTATGAGTATTTATCCCTCATGCTGCCTTGATTTCCTCAGCACTGGAGATAAATGCATCTTGAACTTTAAACCATGTGGGATGTTTGGAAAAGATCTTCACAAAGTCGAAGGATTTATCCAAGACAGAAGGTGAGAACAGCAGCAGGTCAGGTACCAGGGCTGGGCGATTAATCCATTTTATCTATTCATTTATAAATTTGGGGTTTTTAAAGGTATCATTTTTGGAAAATATTGATTTTTTTTTTTTTCACCACCATTGCACTCGTGGGTTTCGATAGTTTCGAGTGTTGTCAGCTCGCCCAACGCAGCTATCTTGTTTAAGCTTTTGTTTATTTGGACTTTGAATTCAGGTCAACTCACCGACAAAGTATTAGAGCCAGGCTACAAATGTTATGTTTTTATGATAAGAATGAAGTCATAATATTACAGGAATAAAGTCATGATATCAGGAGGATAAAGTCATTTTTTATGAAAACTCCTGAAAAAAATAATGAAAAATTAGAATGACAGATAAGAAGTGATACTTTGCAATAGGCTTTACTGAAATACTTAATTTTTCAACTCATCAAATTATCCTTATCAGGACTTTGAGTTTATTTTGAAAAAAAAAAAAAAACCCTGATCGATCCTTATTACTAATTTTTTTTCTAATTAAAATGTGTTTTTTCTCAACATTTTAAGATGTCCTTCTGGTAAAATTGCATGTTTATTGTGTCTTTATTCTCATAATTAACACAAATTCTAGAAATCTGTCATACATCTCACAGAAGCTGGTTTTGAAAGTATTTTTCATCAGCAATTTCTTTATTAGAAAATAAACAACTTCTCTAAAAAAAATTAAAAAAATTTAATAAGATTGATTTTTAAATAGGATCGATTTTTTTTTCTTTAAAAAATATTAATTTTAAAAAATTTTTAAATAAAAAGAGATATTATTTTACAGCCGAGTCGCCCAGCCCTCCTGAATCCAGTCTGTGAGGCATAATTTGTGATTGTTTGTTTTCTGAACCGATCGTGTCGCTGTGGTTGGACCAGTAAGAAGAAGAGACGAGTCATCTACGGGAAGTGGACGGAGTGCGTGTACAGCATCGACCCCAAGCTTTATGAAACGCACAAGACGGCAGAGAAGAAGACGGGGAGCGACCCAAAGAAACAAGTAAGAAACCTTTGAGCCAATTTGCTTTTTCTCACCTGTGATCGTCTGCAGAGCAGAAAAGCCTCCCTTCTCTTCGGCTGGAGACCCGGCTGCTCACTAATCTTATGGGATTAAATTACTGTCTTTGCTTGATTAAAGGCTTTTTCTCTATTTATATTCACAACTCTTGAATTTTTTCTGAATATAACTAAATATTTATTTTGTTTTTTTGAACTTTTATGTTGTAGACCAACACAAATTGGTGCATCAATGTCACAACTGAAAGCTTTTTTTTCTCATGAATCTATTAATTTATTATACAAATATTTATTGACCTATTAAAAAAACCTTAAATATGATCAGACTGAATTGGAAATAAACAGATAAGTCTCACTTCTCAGTCAGAATCTTTGTAACACCTGCGGATGAAAAATGTACTACTTTTAAATAAAACGTTTTAATTTACAAACTTATCAACACAACTAAATATGATTACAATAGGATTAGAACTGTTGTAAACACTTATTTTAGTAATCAAATAATATCTTGATTATTCTGACGATTAATCAAGTAATTGAATAAAAAATTAATATGATAAAATATTGATAAATTCTACCGTAACAGCAGTGTTACTATTGGATATCAACATCAGCTCAATTTTTTTATATTTCATATTTGTGCATCCCCACAATTACCTTTCTGTACCGAACCGAATTTGAAAATTTGACGTTAGGCTGCTAACACTTAGCTTTTGTCAATAATTCCTAGGCTCAAGTGAGAGCGCTGTGCAACATAAATAAGCTGGAATATGGTGCACTAAATAATAAAACTGAAGTTAATGGAGCTTCGAGGCAGATAAATTTTCCCTCAGGAATTTTAAAAATCAAGCTACTTGAATCGTTGGAGGGTTTGTTTCAGCCGGTCGTGTTTTTGAGTTATAAAATGTTTAAAGTTGACAGAAAATTTGAAAATATTACTCGATTCATATGTTATTGAAACACTGGAAAATTAATACCTGCACACCAACTATAAAATCTTAGAAAATGCAAACATTTTAAAAAGACTTGAATAAATGAACGATGCTAAGCCTGGTGGGGGCACAAGTAAAGCCTGATGGCCCTCCAGGCTTATAATCCACTGGGGGAAACGCTGGACATGTGCAGAATGTTTCCAACAATCTGATGTTGCCTGGTCTCCATCCGGCGTGAAAGGAACGTTTCTGTAAACTCATTCGATTGTCAGTAACCTGTTTGACATGTCCCTGAATCTGTTTTCTCAAACGGTATCTCTTCCTTTCACAATAACATGCAGTGGCGTTAGCGTAAGGTAAGGTAACAGCGTGTTTGATATCTCTAGTGTGCTGACTGCTGTTGTCTAGTTATGTTTATAGTGTACTTGTTTGATTAGATCATTGCCAGCACCTAATCCATGATGTCTTGCAATGACATGCCATTGTTGTTTGAAATGTGTTGAGTTTGTGGCAACCGTAGTTCCCATGATTCACCTGTTTGCACTGAACCGTCCGCTCGGTTGGTTTGGCCTCAACGGTTTGAATGTGACGCCTTTTTTTTAATCTGTCCGTTTGTGTAGGAACGTAGCTGTGAAGCAGAGTACGACGACGACTTGCCAGAAGTTCAGGATACAGTGACTGTGATACCAGGAAGTGCCTTACTGTGGAGGATAACGCCGCGGCCCAGTCACTCAGCGCAGGTCGGCGCTGAATTCTGCATTCATCACAGGAATCAGAAACGTTTTGACGTTGATCTTGAGGATTTAAAGTGTCCACCATTTAATTGATTAGTCAAGTTATCAATGTCAGCACTGAACTTCAGCACCTGCAAGCAGGGCAGGTTCATCCTTCCTGCACTTTTGAGTAAAAATTACTGACGATTCAACTCTGAAGTCTCTGACCTGAACGTTCAGAGCCACATAAAGACGGTTACAAAGACGAACTTCTATCACCCGATTGGACTTTATCAACATCTTTAATAACAGAGGCTTATTTTGCTGTTGCTATCAATATTATTGTCTCACAAACCACAATACGTCTTTTTCTTATGCATATGTTCATGGATCTGAAATGTTTTGTTTTGCCATTTACTGCTCAGTCTGAGAAAAGAAGAACTGGTTTGACTTTGTGTCAATAGAAAACCTTTCACCAAATATGACAAAAATCACATGTGAAGTACCACAAGGCTCATTCCTGGATTCCCTCTAATTTAATATATACATGCTCCCCTTAGCTCAAGTTATAACAGGTCGTGAGCGTAGCTACCACAGCTCTGCAGACGCTGCTGCTGCTGGCGTTCTGACTACCCAGTTCTAAAGACCTTCGTCTGAGAGAACAGACTTTAAAATATTAAAATACTGCTGTTAGTTTATAAATCACTGAATGGCTCAGTACAACAATGCATTAAAGATCTGCTGTTGTTGGACCAACCTTCCAGAACCTCTCAGGTTTCCTGGTTCTAGTTCTGTTCTGCTTCCAGAACCAAAATCAAACATAGAGAAGAAGCATTAAGCTTCTGTGCACCATAAATCTGGAACAAACTTTTAGAAAACTGCAAAACAGCCAAAACACTGAGTTCCTTTAAATTAAGGAGATGCTTTTGATTACTAATAACAGAAAAATCATTATTTTTAATCTTGATTGAAACTTTTCATTACTTCTCTTTGTTATGGTTTTCTTTTTTGTTTTTATGCCTTTTTTCATGTAAAGTACTTTGAATTGCCTTATTGCTGAAATGTGCTACAAACAGGGCCGGTCCAAACATTTTTCGGGCCCTAAATGGATTTTCATGTGGGGCCCCACAAACCATCATTCCTAAGCAACATTTGTTTTTTCTTTTTGGTAGATGTATAACTTCACCAGCTTTGCTGTGACGCTAAACGAGCTGCAGCCCGGGATGGAGAGGCTGCTGGCGCCAACGGACTGCCGTCTGAGGCCCGATATTAGAGCCATGGAACATGGAGACATCGGTACGAAAACATGACAAAAACATGATGTTTTATTCATTAAATGTGTTTTATTACTCTTGACTCTTCTGCTTTCTTCAGATTTAGCGAGTGCAGAGAAGGAGCGATTAGAGGAAAAACAGAGGGCGGCACGCAGAGAGCGATCAAAGGATGAAGAGGAGTGGTCGACCAGGTCAGAGCTAATAGCTGCCAGCAGCGGCGCCGGATTCATTTTTGAGGTGGAGGGGGGCTATCTGGTGTTTCGTCACTTCTGTTACACACTTTGAATGTCAGGCGGGCGCTTGTTCAGTTGATATGACGGCACCTGTCAATCAATTCAGTGGGTTAGTCGCAGTTTGTCCCTGAGTAAACCGTAAACATCCCTTACCGAGAGGATGGCGTTTTCGGGTCTACCCGGCGCTGCGGTCTGGCGAGCTTTGATGATTGGTTGCTGTTAAATGCGCTTCCTGCGGTCATAGTGATTTGGTGGAAGATAATCAGAAAAAAATGTTAAGTTGTCAGTGGGGAACATGCAGAAGGCAACTTAATTCACAGCATTTAAGATGGCGGAATAGTCTTCTTTACTCTGAAACCCCTAAATAAATCCAGTGCAACCATTCGCCTTATTATTCATAAAGGAAGACTTCCTATATTAGTAAAGAGAGTCTGTGTGGAAGGCCTCGGGTTATAACATGGGATAAATGATCAGTGAAATAATTTCACACTGGAACCAGAATGTTTCTATCAATGCTGACCTAAAACAAACTCCTATATCTTGCTGAAAAGTTACTTGTCAGTTAGTTTTTCTCATTTCAAGTGTCATGAGAGATTTGCACAAGAAACTGGATAAAAATACTTGGTGATAATTTGTGTTTTTACGGTGTGCCCATACAATTAAATTTGAATTTATTTAGAAACCTTTAAAGAGATAGCGGCACAAACAAAAGCGTTTGCTGCACAAACATTTTGTTAGAGCTTCACTCAGTTCTTTTGTTTGTTTTGTGTCTTTAATTAAAAAGGTCAAAGGTTAATTTGAACAGGAACTCTTGATTTCTCTCTAAAAGCAGGTTTTGTCTGTTTCCTTTTAGGTGGTTCCGGATGGGAACAAACCCTTTCACCGGAGCCGAGGACTGGCAGTACACAGGCGGATACTTTGACAGGAAGTACACGGACTGTCCCAACATTTACTGACACACTCAAAAAAGAGAGAAACTCTCTGTGCTTCTGGAAAATTATCACTTCGCATCTCAAATCTCTACGACTTGAAAACTGGGCAGGTTATTCAGACCGGCACTGTGTCTCTGTTAGAGCAAACCGCTACACGACTGTGAACATGCTCTGCGGGAGAGTTTTAGAGAAACGTTGACGTCAGACATCTTCATTGTTATTTACCCTAAACGTTCGCCATGTAAGGCTTTTAAACCTGCCACCAGTGTGAGCTCTGCAAACACAAACGAGCTGCAGAAACGTTTTAGTTCAGGTCATACAAACACTTCATGTTGCATTTAAATATCAGGGATTATTTAAACACACCTGCTACTTTCATAAAACCAACTCTGACATTAGATGTCTATTTTATTCAGCACTACATATCTTTAAATGTCACAAGTGTTTCTGTGAATAGAGATTAAAACAACCAAGCTGCTTATAGCCATGTTTACTTTTATCGTAAGTGGATACTGTCGGTACAAATATACAGTTGTGTATAGAAAAAAATAAATAAAACGTTGCTTGCATGTTCACCAAGATGCTAATAGACAAGTTAGAGCCATAAAATAATGATTTCCTGCACTGAGTATAGAAACATTTATGGACAGACGCCTTGATTTTGACACTGTGGCTGCCTCTCACCTTTATGCTCTGAAAAACGCAAAAAAAATAAAAATAAAAATAAGTGTCAGGAATCCAGTTAAGAAAACTAAATGATTATTGAGCTTCTTCTCCTTTTTCTAAACCTTTAAACGTGGAGCTGTGGAGCCCCCTAGAGGTGTATGAATAAATTACCGAACACACCCTGGTCTATTTTTTGTACAAAAACATTCTTAGATCTTTGGTGCAAATTAAAATTTAAAATTGATCTATTACTGTGTATTTATGTTTGTATTTAAACCAACCAATCGAAAGACACAATCAAAACATTCAGATTACTTTTATTACCAATGAAAATAACTCAAAAATACTCAAAATAATTTAATGTATTTTTCTTTCCTGGAAAACCCATGTTTGACCTGTTTTGCTGTTGCATGTAGCATTTCTATCGTTAAAGAAAAAAGAAAACTTCATGGATAAACCTTACAAAAAGGTTTATCCACATTCTCACATCTTACATTTCAGCAGAAAATATTTCAGTATTCAGTTGTGAACGGAACAATACATTATTTCAAGGGAAAAGAAAAAAATCCCTCATGTCCTTTAGGGGGCTCCGTACAGAGCAGAATGTTGGCATGGATGTTTGTTTGGATTTGTTTGTTTTTTGTGGACAATTTAAGCTAATTTGCACCTTTAAAATGATGTGAAACTGTCTCTAAGTTGAAACACAACAAAAGCATCAAAAGAAAAGGGAAATGTTGCTCTGAAAGCATCTGTGTGCTCTGGATAAATGTTGGGTTTTAAAAGGAGGCGCAGCACTGCATGACAGAGAAAGCTTTAAGTTTCCATGTAGACACTGAGCTTCGTTTTCAGACTCGCCTCGTGACGCTGCAGACGCCGTGAACCTATGCAAACCGATCCGTCCTCTCCTGAAATGTGAACCCACAAACTCCAATTTCCTCTTCAGAAATGCAGAGTGCTGAAAGTGAAACACTATATAAGTAGATGCTGCAGCAGATTTTTGTTGCTGTTGAGCATAAAAAATGCTGATTTCAGCACACAGAGTCTTATGCACTCACATGTACAGCAGAATTTCTCCCTTTACTCTGTTTTTAAAGCACTTTTGAAGCCTGCAGGTTCAATCTGACGGATATTTTCATCCTTTTACCCCCATGTCTCTCCTCTGTCGATAATGTTTACATTGTTCGTTCTTTTCCTCCTCCCCTCTGTTACTGTTGCCCAAAACCATATGCATACAAGCATATTAAATAATAAATTATGGACTACAGAATGAGCTGCTTCATGGTGGTTTTTAAGTGTTTCAATTAGAAAATTAGTAAGATTGCAATTATTTAAAAATAGATGTCTCAGTTAGAATATGGGTCGTTTTCTCTAGTTTGCTTTTATTTTAAATTTATTTTTTGTACATAACTTTTTTTTTCACTCTACGATGCAGAATAGATTTTTTATTTTACGGAAATTGAATTGGGTCCCGCCTAAATTGGGCAGAATTACAGACAGTATTTTTTATCTTAAATTCAAAATGTATATATATTTATAGAGTTTTGGCTTAATTGCAGTTGGAGTGGTTTTTTTTTATAGCTGACATACTCCAGTTAACGATTAATCAATTACAAAATTTATTTCTAAAATTCTTTGATTTATCGAATCAGCCTTGGAATACATTTATTTTTACTTTGAAAGTATTCACTTAAGGTTATATTATTTAGCTTTTGTTATGTTTGATGTTATATACTTATTATTTTCCTTATACTTAAGGTGTAAAGGGAAAAAAATACATATTGACATAAAAACTTCTCTTTTTAAATAATAAAAAATGACAAGTTTTGGTGCATTTCCCCCCCAGCTTTTTAAACTCTAAATTTAATGATGTTTAATAATTAAATTATTGTTTTGGATAACTTTTGATAATCAAATGTATTACATTTTATAAAGGAATCACCTTTCATATAATTCAATTAAAAATATGTATTGATAATAGCATTTTGTTAATATTTTACATTTTGATAGTCAAAGTTTAGTATGGTTTCTAAAATTGTAGTTTATTCACTAATTTGTCTAAAGTATTTTTCAATATATTTCACAATTAAGAAAAAAAATAATTAATTTGGAGAACAATCTGCATCTTAGTGCATTTATAGCCTGGTTTAACCTCGGAGTTTTATTTGTGTTGGTTACATTTAGTTTAATTCAGCTGCTGATGTAAAACACGCATCAAACTAATTAGCTAGTAAAAATAAAATAGTTGCATAAATCTACTTTATTAACCTTCTTACATCTCTTAGTTTGACATGTTTAGTGTCGGTCTAATTTAATTCCGTTATGCTGCCAGCGCTATAATAAAAATTCTAATAACTTTGATTTACTTTTGTGTCTTTAGTTTGACGCGTCAACCTAACTTGTCGTCTCTACCGAACATGCGCAGCAGATTTATACGCCCTCATATTGACGCTCGGTTGAGCCAATCAGAACGAAGCTCCGCTGCTGTTCAGCCAATCACAAACGGGCGTCGCAGAGTTCTGTGGTTTTCCAGCTGAAGGATAAATCCGGCAGAAATGTGAGTATAAACGGTGTTTTTGTCCAGGTTTGTGGTGTAAATTACGGCTCTGGCTGCATGGTAAATCGGTAGGGATAAAATGTGAAGCTGCAGCCGAGCGGTGGCGGCTCGGAGCTGGAAACAGACCTTTGTGTGCAGGATGCAGAGTCATGTCCGCGGTGCGTCTGCAGCAGGACCCGCTCCAGTTCATCTGTTTTCATGGGAGAACGGGGACAAGTCTGCTCCCAGCTGGATGCGCACACCTGCATCAGTTTCCACAAAATTCATCAAGATAAAGTGTGTCTTTATAGTGGGCTGTGAAACAAAAACACATTAAGCATCTGAAGTATTTTTATATTTTTTTAATATCAAACCTGTTTTCATTCTTAACCTTATTCAGAGGACCTGATCTTAGTATGTTGCATGAAAAATTCATATTAACGTGATGTTAAGCTTATATGACTGAAAGGTTAAGATATTTCACAAATGTATTTGATGACCAAATGTGAAAACTGTTGGTGGGAATTGGCAAAACCCAAACAAACCAATCAGTAAAAATTATGCTTTGAAGCTTGGTTGCAGAATTAATTCACAAAATAAAACTGAAGACAATATAGGATATTTCCTCGGGTTAAATATCCATCCACGGACTGGAGAAATGTAAAAGTGCACCAGTTATTTCACCTAATGGTTATTAGGGCTATTTTACATAGAAAAAAAGGAGTAAATTTGAGCCAAAATTATATATATATATATATATATATATATATATATATATATATATATATATATATATATATATATATATATATATATATATATATATATATATTATTTTAATGTTTTTATGTCAAAGAATTTTTTTTGTGATCTAAAAAAAAAAAATCCTAAAAATAAAGTCTGAAGACATTTCTGAGTTTGAAAAGTTCAAAGCTTGTAAAAAACTCAGAAATTTTGAGATTAATGTCAGAATTTTATTTATTTAATAATAAAAAAAAAGAACAAAAAATTTCCTTGTTTGAAAAGTTGACAATGTTTGACTTTTTGAAATGTTCTGGACTTCTTTTTTTATTATCTAGAAAATCTACAACTTTTGAAACTCAGAAATTTAAAAATTTTCCCCTCAAAGTTGTGAGATTAATCTCAACATTTCTGAGTTTTTTCCTAGCAAATTTTTGACTTTTCATAGTTTAAGGTTTTTGTCTTTTCTAGAACATTTTTGTGATTTATAGGTGGAAATTTACTCTTTTTCTTCTTGCCACAAAGGCCCTAAAACACCATTGTAGTTTTGTTCTATGCAAAAACCCTCACAAAGCCAATCTCAAGACGTCCGTGTCGATGCAGCGTTCATACAAACCTCTGAGCAGAGCTGAGGAGTCGTACCGCCTTCCAGATGTTTGTGTCTCCCTTCCTGCAGCAGACAGTCCTCCTCATCATGGCGTCCGGCGCCCTGTTCCCCAGCCTGGTGTCCGGCTCCCGCGGCTCCTCCAGCAAATACCTGGTGGAGTTTCGGGCCGGTAAGATGACGATGAAGGGCAGCACGGTGACCCCCGACAAGCGTAAAGGTCAGGTCTACATCCAGCAGACGGATGACTCCCTCATCCACTTCTGCTGGAAGGATCGCACCACCGGGAATGTGGATGATGTAGGGGACGGAGTGGATTTTTAACCAAACTGACCTGCAGCTGGGTTTTCTAATATCACCTTGATTTCTCCGTTTAGGACCTGATTATCTTCCCTGATGATTGTGAGTTTAAACGGGTCAACCAGTGCACCACCGGGCGGGTTTATGTGCTGAAGTTTAAAGCCGGCTCTAAAAGACTCTTCTTCTGGATGCAGGTTTGAAGCCAAAACACATCAAACTCTGTTGACTTTATCACTAATTTCCTCTTGGGACATTTTTGGCACCAATCGTCCTCCACAGACTGTCTGGAAGCTGCTTCATGCTGTTTGGCTCTTCCTCTAAACGCCCATTTTTTGAATAGCAAAAACGTTTAATCACAAAATTTGTGATTAATTGATTATTGAAATCATTGCCAGCTAATTTAGTAATCAATTAATTGTCATCTTGAGCATACAGACTCAAAAAACAACATATTCAGAGCAGCAATTGAGTCAAGTCTCCTCCAGTGTCAGTTTTAGCTTCACCCGTCTCAGATTTACTAAATGAATGCTGCTATTGCTTTTCGGCAATAAAAATGTTCCTTTCTTATGTAAAAAATAAATTGAATTATTTGTTTATTTTAATGTTTTTATGTATTTCGAGTATTGTATAAAAAAAAAAGCTTAATTGATTAAATGAAAGATCTGCAGATGGTGTTTTTTTTTCTTCTGTCGATTAATCAAAAGAATAATTGATTCAAGGGTGGATTAATCAGATGTGCATCACACTTTTTATATTTTTTTTGGTTAAAATTTTTTAAAATTAACTATACATGGATTTGTCACATGAAAGACACATTGAAGAGCTGTGTGTTGCTGTTTATGACAGCAACAAAAGCTACTTGAAATTTATAGTGTGTGAGTTATTATTTTCTGTTTTCAGGAACCAAAGAACGATAAGGATGACGAGTACTGCCGCAAAGTGAACGAGTACCTGAACAACCCGCCCATCCCAGGCTCCCTGGGCAGCGGCGGCAGTGGAGGACACGACCTGTCTGCACTGGGAGGTAGAATGCTCCAATATTTAAACTTTAAGATGATAAACCCTCACTTCTGCTTCATTCTTATTCCTTGTCTTTTTCTGAAGGTGAGGGTGGTCTGCAGAGCCTTCTGGGCAACATGAGTCACAACCAGCTCATGCAGCTCATCGGACCCACTGGACTGGGCGGGATCGGTACGTGAAGGCAGCAGTGTGGAGATAATGTGTTGTAATTAGGGATGTAAACAATACATTTATAATTAATTGTCATTTAATTATTAGATTAAATTGGACTAATAAAGTCCAGTTAGACCGTTGTTTTTAGTGTTGTGGTTTGGCCGCCATCCAGCAGAGGGCGCCGCTGGTCATTTGTAGGTGGAGCCGTTGAAGCAGATTAAAGATGGCGGCGCCGCCGTGTTGTAACGGAAAAGAGAAACGGTCCGAACAGAATCCGGTGTGAGGAAAATTATGCGGCTCTGTTTGGAAATATAAACACTCAACAAATTCACTGAAAACTGTTGATTTGGTACGAAGAAAAATGGAAACATGGTGGGGAGAAAAAACATGATTTTCGTGAGTTAACTCACTTCATGGAGCGAAGTTTTAACTTTAAAGAGCAACAGTCGGCGCTTCTGATTGGACAGATCTTCATTTTTTTTTATTTTTCTACTCCAATGTGAGAAAAGTACAATTTCCTATTTGTTCAGTTTGACTTTTAATACATTTAACACAAAATAATGATACATTTATTTTTTTAAATTCAACATACTATGAAAAATGTTTCACTTGGTGTTATGGGAAGATGGCAGACAAGAGGAAGCTCAGGTTTGTAAGAAAATGGCCGCTCATTTGATTAAGTTTAGATGAATTAATTGGTAACTTTCAGCGACTGTGGTGATGTGTTTCTCCTGACGTCAGGCGGTCTGGGGGCTCTGGCCGGGCCGGGCTTGGCCAACCTCCTGGGCAGCAGCAGCAGCAGCAGCGTTCCTGCAGTCAGCAACTCCACCACCAGGTGCCTCCGTCTGTTTTCATGATAGAAGCGGCTTCAGTTGGAGGCCGACTCTCATCTGATTCCTGTTTTCCAGTCCGTCCACCGCCGTCACGCCGACCTCCACCTCCACCGCCAGCCGGCTGGGCTCCACCCAGGTGCCCACCACTCCCATCACCCCCCTGGCCACGTCTTCACCCTCCCCCACGGCCTCCACCCTCTCCATCCCGGCTGCCACCGCTGCTGCAGCCGCAGCCAATCCAACGCAGCCTATCCAGCTCAGAGACCTGCAGAGCATCCTGGCCACCATGAACGTCCCGGCCAGCAGCCAGGGAGGTGAGGAGGGGACATCCAACCATCCATCCAACCAACCATCCATCCATCCATCCATCCATCCATCCAACCATCCATCCATCCATCCATCCATCCATCCATCCATCCATCCATCCATCCATCCAACCATCCATCCATCCATCCATCCATCCATCCAACCATCCATCCATCCATCCATCCATCCATCCAACCAACCATCCATCCATCCATCCATCCATCCAACCATCCATCCAACTGTCCGTCATCCATCCATCCATCCATCCATCCATCCATCCATCCATCCATCCAACCATCCATCCAACCATACATCCAACCATCCATCCATCCATCCATCCAACCATACATCCAATTATCTGATCATCCATTCTACATTTGCTGTTACATTTTTTTTTCATTTAAAAATTGACCTTATAGTAAAGTCTTGTGTAACTTTGTACTGAACCTTTTCATTTATACTTTAGTATTTGGCCAAAAAGAAGTGATAAAAGTTTAATTTTCAACCATCCAATCAGAAAAATGCCTCATTAAGAGTTTCTAAAACATCAAACTGTGTAAAACATCACTGCAGCGCTCAGCGGCAAAAGTCTGACGTGTTTCTCAGATTTTTATTAAATTGGTTGATAAAATCTTTTAACCATTTTGCGTTTTGTGGCGAATTTGTAAATGCCAGAAAGTGAAAGAGCATTTCAAAAAGTTTGGCTGCCAATGTCTTGCACAAAAAGATAAAGACCAGTTTTGGTGTGTTTGTTTCTTGCAGTGGACCTGGCTAGTGTGTTGACCCCTGAGGTCATGGCTCCCATCCTGGCCAACCCGGAGGTGCAGCAGAGGCTGACGCCCTACCTCCCGTCCGGCGAGTCTCTGCCGCAGAGCTCGGAGGAGCTGCACAACACGCTCAGCTCGCCTCAGTTCCAGCAGGTACAAATGTCGATTGGCTCGGCTCGTTTTTGTTCACCTCTAATATTTGGTTTTTGTGTCTCTTTTCAGGCCATGAGCATGTTCAGCAGCGCTCTGGCGTCCGGCCAGTTGGGGCCTCTGATGAACCAGTTTGGTCTCCCAGCTGAGGCTGTAGATGCTGCCAATAAAGGAGGTCAGTCTCTAAGCCAGAGGTGTCCAAACTTTTTCATGTTCTTCAAAACCATCAGCTTAAAAGTAGCTTGAAAACATGTAATTTTTTAAAACTCAAGTATTGTCTTTTCCTTTCTACCTACTCAACAATAAACTAAACATTTTAATTTTGCTAGTCTTATTATTTCAAGCAAGTTTTTAAAAAACAAAACACAGGTAAGACTTTATTTAAACTGACATGACAAGTAACCAAGATAAAGATAACTAGCTTTCCTCTACTTGTAGATGTGGTCCTTGTTGCCATGACAATGGAGGGGAACCAGAACCAATAGTCACTTTGTGGTCATTTCTGTAAATAAATTTTAATTCAAAACTTGTAGTTTTGAATTTATTCTTGAATTGTGGTCGGTGTGGCCGCACAAAATCAGTGCAGGGGCTGCAAATGGCCCCCGGGCCCCAGTTTGAACATCCCAGCTCAAAAGGTAATACATGGTTCCAAATGTTATGTTTCCAATTAGATTGAACAAAAGATTAAACTGTAATTTTTACTCTGGAACAGAATGATTCACATTTATACTTTTTTGCAAATTAGGATTTTACATTAAAACATTAATTTTTCCTGACCTGAATAATCTGTGCTATCGCTACAATATGTATAGTACTTAGTGTGTTTGTTATTGTTTGGTCTTCATTTGTTTTTATGGTACACTAGCACCACCTGCTGGTAGGTGGTGAAGCATCAACAATGACGGTGCACTTTGCTCCTCTTGGCTCATTGATAGAGAAACTTAATATTAGACTCTCATATCGAGTCATATTAAACAAATTAGATTATACTTTCAGATCAGGATTGTTTATCAGATTAAAAGTTCTTTTAGAAATAATAACTTTAACACACCTTTCACTGGTTCATTTGAAATCATTAAATAAGGTTATAAAATACTTTATCATCCCAAAGGGATTGTTGCAGATGGTGATGCTGCTGACAGAAAGAAGCTCCAGTAGCAGTCAGAGTTTTACAATGAGTCTGAAGAGGCCTCTGACTGAAGACAGTTGTTTTATGACATGACGTGCTAACAGCTAATCCGCCTTTTTGCTTTTGCAGCTCCTCTTTAAATTTCTGTCTGGCCGAACGGTTAGAAAGATGCTAGAGTCTGGGATATGATTCTTACTCATTATGGTTGATAGAAGAGATTCTTTGAACTCATTCATTTTTCCTGAATTGTTCCCTTATTCAGTGTTTTAACATCGTGTTCAAAGATGTTTTATTGAAACTGAACTACTTGCTCCTGTTTTCTTGTAGATGTGGAGGCTTTTGCCAAAGCCATGGAGACGGAGACAAAGTCAGACCAGGAGAGCGACTCCAAAGACAAGAAGGACGACGACGAAGACATGAGTTTGGACTAAATGCTCTTTCCAGAAAGTTAACGCTATTTATACCTATTTATTTACCTGTTCCTGCTTAGTTTCTGTTACTTAAAGACCTGATGTGGTAACTTGCTCCAGTCTCAGCTGATCTCATCTGTAGACATGACTCCATGTTGACTCATCCTTATCCCAGGAGGCAGTAAAGTCTAAATCAAAACTTTGATGCATTAATGACTCAGATTGTTTTGCAAGGTTGGGTGAAGCTTGTCTTACATTGGATTAAAAATCCATGCATCATCTGCTTACCTGAGATTAGGTGGTGGAGGCAGCGGCTCCAGGAGGGAAAATCAGATATTTGATATTTAATTTTATATATAACGCCTTACAAATTGGGCCGCTGCCGCTTTGTGTTCTACAGGCACATAGTGACATTTTACAGCACAATCAAGTGATGGTACACTTGATTGTAACATCATCAAATATGTTACATATATCAAATATGACTTAAAAGAAATGTGATTTTTTTAATTTAACACCTTGAAATTGGGCCTCTGACTTTAAAAACTCCTGTTTCTGAAACTCCGCCTTCAGGAAGTCTTTATGACGTGGCTCCTTTATTAACTCCTTAAATGAGCCATGTGTTTTTTACAAGCGTTTCAATGAGAAGTAGCTCCACCAGGTGTTTGCTAATTACTTCTGGCTAGTCTGAAGGAGTTTGGGGTAAGTTTGGAAGCTTAGGGGTGAAAAAGATTGCAATTAAGATTTTTTTTTTTTGATTAGACCAGAGTACCGTAACTTTCTGTTCATAATCAGTCCTGAAAAGAAACATTTGTCATGCTAGATTTAAACACATCCTGCACATTTGGGTGTTTATTTTAAACTCTCTTTACTACATGAAACTGAATCACGTCTAAATTATGTCACGATCATTTGGAGACAATGTTTGAGCGACACTGTAGGGGAAAAATAAAAACAGACAAAACATCATGTTTGGATAGTTTTACTGATACTGTGGTTTTTCAGGCACTTTTTCACCATATTCACACAAATGCTAACATCTGAGGAGATACTGCTGCTGGCTACAACGTTAAAATCCACCCATGTGCACTGAAAAAACTACAATCAGGTGTTTTCCATTGACCTCCAATGGAAAAACTTCTTTGGGTTGGATTTTAGAAGCTACTGAAATGAATTTGAATTCCTGAGAACTGAAAGATTAAAACGAAACAAATCCCTGCAGAATTACATCAAACAGTAAATACGATACATACATTTTTTTTTAAATGTGATGCCATTGTGGTAATACAGCACATGAGGACGACCAACACCAGAGTCAGCTGCCACAATAACATCCTGTTTTCATAACAAATATGAATCGCTGTGAGACAAGATGATTAAATTAAATTAAAGGTCACTTCTCAGCCTACTGAGTTCTGTTCTCACAGCTAAAAATGCTTCACAGTGTCAGAAACCCAATTAGAAAATCTATCATTTGCAGCTTAAATACAACAGCCTGTAGAATAAAAATCCACAAAGCTACATTTCTTTTTTTTTTTTTTCTCTAAAAACACGCAAATCACAACCACTACTACCTGTAAATACAAGTTACAAACATTATGGTGTTTTAAAAAAGATGCATCACGATAAACCAAAAGGAAAAGCACATTTAATGTGCCGAATGAACATCTCTAACATAGAGTTCATGACTGGATCTTCACGTACAAAAAGACATTTGAAACGCTCACGACCTACAGTGTTTGACAAAGAATGTAAACGATTCCCCCTCCTCACATTTAAAATAAATAGAGACAGAATAATTTATTTCAAATAGCTTACAAAAGGTGACGGGTTCGGTGCTGCGGCCCGTCTAACCCTGCTGCACCAGCCGGCGGTAGTGTGGCATGACCTTGCTCTCTGGGAGGTACAGTCCCATCTCCAAAGCCACCAGAACCGGGAACTCCAGAGGAATCAGCTCCCGCCGGTTGATCCGGAAACGCTCCTCCAGCTTCTGCTCGTCCAGCAGGAGACAAAAGGAAAAGTTTCAGGTACCGAGCACACGACCCTGATGAACTAATCCAGTCAAACCAGGACGGAGAAGCATTCAGTGTTTTCAAAGATGTTGTTACAAGCACACACTTCAATGTGATTTATTGAGGGTTATTGATTTAGTAGAGAGAAATAGAGAAAAAGAAAAAAGTCTGAACATGAAAGCACAGAAGAGAAAGACAGAAAATATCTGAGAGAAAAAGAAAGAAAGAAGAGGGAACCAAAAGACAATAAAAGGGAGAAAAATGTAAAAGAAAGAAAGCGAGACTGAAAGGTGATCTTCAGTGTTTAAGTTAAACTAAATACAAAAGAATTTTTAAAATGCAAACTTTAAAGTTTTAAAACCTTTAATCTATGAAAATCTACATTTTCAATATTTATAATCTGCAAAAAGTTGAAACGCTGTGCTTCTCTTTTCCTTCCCTCATAAAGTCCTAATTAAACGTATTAAAGTTTGTTTCTCTGACGGGTCGGGGGTGTACATACTTTTTAAAAATCACTGCATTTGATGTTGAATTTTGTGGGACGGCTGATCAAACGTCAGAAATCGTTTCATTCAACAAACATCCTGTCAAGGCTTTGAACCCCGTCGCCATGGTTACTGGCAGCCTTCCTCCTCCTGCAACAGCCGTTGCCATGGAAACCACAGGTAGAGCAGCCTAAGCCAATCAGCAGCGAAGATCCGTTAAAGCTCAGTTTGAGAAAAACGCGTCAGATGATGTGCAGAGGGAACCCTGCTCTGTCTGCAGTAAATAAACTGATATAAAAACGTTGAAGCAAAGATTTTAATCACTCAGATTGTTATTTTTATGGAGTAAAACATAAGTTCAGTGTTTTGCTGCAAGTTTTCTTTCAATTAATCCAGAAGACTGACATGTAAAGAAATATTTAAAGCCTCTATTCCATATTTTATACACATTCAGAAGTCTGAGTTTTGTTAATTCTCAATTAGAGACAAACGTATCCATTAAAGTGAGTAAAATGTTAAAGGCCAAAAAATAGTTTCCACTGTTTTATAAGCAGATCATCAGAGCTGCGGTTTCTAATTGGGGCTGAAGCGATTAATCAGATTAATCGTGATGAACTGATTAATCGATAAAGAAGTGAACGATCAATAACTGGAGTATAGACTCTAAAACATGCCATTTGCTGAAAGAACATAGTCAGAGCTCTAATTAAGCTAAAAATGTGCAAAAGATATAAAAAACATTCATTATTCTTAAAATACGTTCCACCTAAAACTCCTCAAATGGCATTTTTTTCAGCTTCACCTGGTACTAATTGTGTAAAAAAAAAAAAAATCTTTATTAAGCACAAGAGCAACAGATGAGCAACTCACTGTGTTGATGGTGAGTCAGGCAGGAAGGCCTGAGCTTTTCAAATGTTGATGTTAGAAATGTTTATTTTAGCTGCAGACAAATCCTTTGCATTCACTGAAGGAATGACATGATACTGTATTTTGGACAATAAGATGTTTATTTTCTTTTTTTTAAAATGAGCTAAAGAGTTTATTTGCATCCTTTAATATATTTATTATACTATATAAAAAACTTAAGTGGTTAAAGAAAAATTTGTAGAATATGTCCATTTTAATGCAATTAATCCTCAACAATTGATACGATAATCGACTCCTAAACTAATCATTAGTTGCAGACCTATTTTTAATTATTATGCAAGTTGCTCTGTGAGCAATCCAGCTTAAAAACAAGACAGCAGCTCCTTCTCAGTCATGCTAATGACTGAACAAATATTTCTGCCTGTAGCTGCACCGAAACATTTTGAGAAAGTTTTGAGTATTTTTGTTAAAAAGAACCAGATGTTTTTAATTAAAAGCCTCGTAAATTGATGTAAATTTGATGCGTATAAACTTTTACACATCTTTACATTCTCTGGTTCGCCACATAAACAAGACAAGTCTTTCAGCAGACGGCCATCTTTGTTACAGCTTCCTAAATACATAAAATGAGGTTAAATTGAAAATGTTCTGCCTTCAGCAGCTCTTAAATTACATTTTGCTCAGATAAACTACATAAGATGATAAAGGAGCCACACAGAAGCTGTTTAGCAAACATCCCAGAGGCGAATGAAGCGTCTGCAGTCTTTAAATCAGATCCTGTTAGCACCGTTAGCGCGTTTACTCACATCAATCAGCTGCTTCACTTCTGGTTTCCGCAGATCGCTGCTGATCTTCGCAGCCAGCAGAACGCACGCAGCCGCCACAAGCTTCCTGTTCTGCTTGTTGAGGCGACCTTGCAGCACCAGTTTCTCAAAGTAAACAAAGGCCATCGCTATGGTGACCGGCTGCAGGCCACACTCTTCGCTCACGGCCCTCATCTCCCTCTTCAGGCTGGCAGAGAAGAAGAAGTCACAGTTACTCCATTGTTTGCAAAGAAAGAGCGAGTTACTGCAAAAACAAAAGTATTTTTGGTCTAGTGCAAATATCGAATGTTAAATAAGACAGAAACTGACATGTTTTAGTTGAATAATTCCTTAATATTGAAAAAAAAAGTACTAGTTCCACTGGTAGATTATTTCTATTATAAAATGGAATAAATGTTTTATTATAAGTGAAATAATCAATATTAATTGTGTTTTAATTTCAAATGCATTAACATTTACACTACAAACACATTTACATGGTAAGATTTTGTGCTTTTGCAGTGTGATCATGTTGAGTGAGGACGATGCTAAAACCACAGAAGAAGAGAAGCACCTCCTTATCTTGCTCAGCGTCAGCTTGATGTGAGGAAACTTCTCCTTGAAGGTTTCATTCATGTCCTTTTTCAGATCGGGCGGTTTCACGTATTCAATAATGGTCGTCTGCAGAAACGGGAAATGAACCTTCAGCTCAATACAAACCTGCTGTTGTTTTCACGCACACACACACACACACACACACACACACACACACACTCACACACTAAGGGCTAAAGGTTACTGCCATGTGACACAACAATGATCTAGTATGACATGGCATAAAGGAGGTATTCTCTCTCCAGACGTTGTAAAGACTCGGCGAACTGACTGAATGATTTACATTCAGTCAAATAAAACTTGCATCCTGATTTCTGCAACCAACCTCTGAGTCCAGATGGTCAAGAGAAACCAGGATACGACCATCTGCGAGTGACGTTCTGTTCATATTGTGCTTTACATGTTTCGCTCTTACAGATC